CCATCATCATCACCATCATCATCACCATCATCATCACCATCATCATCACCATCATCATCACCAAGACCTACCATCTCGCCACCGTGGCCACCATGCTCTCGTTGCAAATGCTCGTAACAAGGCACACTATTCTCAAAAAAGGCGAGACATACCCAGCATATATGAGTCTTGCAACTACCGCAGGTCATATGTTTGCAACCAGCTGCCTTCTCCAACGGGGTTGAGCACTTGAAGCAGCTTTGGATCTTCAGCTCCCGCTTGAGTTCCCTGAAAACCCCCCCCCTTCCCCCAACATCCATCATGTCTCTGTATTCTGCACAGGTGTACTTCCCGTGGACTACGTGGCATGAGGTATAGGTTGGCGTCAGGCAGTTCGGGCAGGTTTACGCTTAAGCTGGTTTCTGCCAATCCTCTCTCGAACCGCTCTGTTTGGTTGGTGGTGCATCGGTAGACGTAGCCGCAACCAGGCGTAGGACCGTAATGAAGAGACTCGGGGTGTCGTGCAACATACTCTTCGAAAGATGACTTCGGCACACTTTCGAATACCAACGACGAGAGGTGATTCGTCAGTTCACCAAGAGTGAAAACCGTAGGGCATGCCCCACCGGCGTCCTGGCATTTGACCTCGAACCTGCTCCCACTGGTGGATGCGGCGGATCGACAGCAGTCCTCGAAGCATTCGAGGCAGTAAGTATGCTGGCGGGATGTGCGAATCTCGTCTTCGGCCGGACAGAGGCAGATAGGATACTCTCTGTTTGGTCGGGACCAATCTTCCCATGACGGCGCGCCGCTGTTGCTTTCACGTCGCTTTGGCTTCTGACGATGTCCATGTCGGCTTCGGCGGCATCTTCTTTGGAGGAAATCTATACCGCGCTCCAAGCCATCTGACAGACCTGCTCGAACCTTTCGCGGGGTCCTTGGAAACGCAGCTAGCGCTTGGTCGTGTCTTTGATGATGACGATCTTAATAGCTCCACGATGACTTTGAGTTGTTTCGCTGTGCCGCTCTTTCCGTCCAGTAGCACGGGAGCCCACATCGCCTTGTGTCAGTCCATTAGCACAACCTCTCGGAAGAGATTCTCCAGCGCGATACGTGCTTTGGCCACCTATGCGGCCTTCTCTTCACTGACCCTCAATGTTTTCGGCCACAATCACGATCGTCAAAGGCCAATATCCACGCCATGATCTGCCCAACTCATTCGTTCTTGCTCCACACCTTCCTTCAAGATGCTGTAGAGCGTCGTCGAAACCTCCAATTTGACCGAATGGACCATGGCGACAATCATTTCCCATTTCTCTAGAATTTCAAGCAGCGTTGCACTGAGCGAACACGCAGATCCGGCGTCTTCTTAATGCTGAAACTCTGCTGTAGTCCGGACTTGTTGGCCTTTGAATCCGAGGACCAGATCGAGGTTCGGGATCCGGCCCTGTCTCTCCAAAGTGCGCGGATTTTCTGATCAACTTTGTTGTCTGCCGCTGGGTAGATCACATGTCCTAATTCGATGATTGGTGGTCGATTATCTGGTCTGGAGTTCAGAGATCGCTGCATTCCTCTCCTCAATTGTGGCTTCGTTGCCTCAGTAGGCACTCCGCTCAGAACGACGGACCAGGACAATGGCCCGCCGGGACTCGTCATACTGATAGTAATTGATTGGATCCATCCATCCATAGCTATCGACCTGCCCTCATGGTAGCTTTCAGCGTATCTCCGCGCTGACTTGCCGTTGCCGAAATGGTATGAAACGGTTCGAGTCGGGTTGTGCCTCTGCCACGAGATGTGGAGCTTTCAACAATCGGCACGTCTGTTATCGACAGGGACTTGAGTTGCGGTAATTGGCAGTTGTGCTGATTTGACCCGAGCCTCGAATTTTTTGGCAAAAGATGGGTCTTCCACCTTCACGGTTGCGTTGACCGTGTGCGACTTGGGATGCTGGAAAACGCGGATACTTTCGACAGGCTTCCACAAACCAAACCATTGCAGAACTTCTATAACAGCTCCAGCGGTGTTTCTGGCGGGAAGTCCTATGATGAACGCCATAGAGAAGTCTGTTGGAAGCGAGACCTTCTTGACTTTGCCAAACTCGTTGAAGGAGACGGAGCCGCCTAACAGCTCTCGAGTGTAAATCGTCGTCGACGATAAAAACTTGGCCCTGCCAACACAGTGTCAGGATTTTGTTTCCAGGTGAGAAGCCACCGTAGTACGTTATATTTACCTCGCCTTCAATATCTCCAGTCCCTGGACGAACAAGCTCTTTCCCTTTCGCACTACTTGCTGTGTGCAAGTATGGGTAGTTAGGGTTCTGCAACCTCCGGATCGAGAATGATATCTGCATGGAGCTCCTGCGCGGAAACCCAAGGCCAGTCGATGGACTTTACCATCCCCTTGAGATTCAAGTCCACCTCCAGAAGCATCAAGAAGTCCCGCGGGCGAGGCTGCCGTCTTAGGGTGTGCATAGAAGCATGCTGCGCTTCGCTTGCACGAGCCTCGAAGATGATACCTGCAAGGCTGAGACGATTTAGTCCCCTGGGCAGATGACGCAGATGGAACATTCGCGTCCGTCTCCATCTCATGACAAAACCGACAAGCGCTCCCATACCTACACGCGCCTCGTGCGACAAATCACTGTGGACTTTCTGTCGCGAAGCAGCACAAGGGAACATTGACAAAGGTACAAATTCGATGCGCGAAGGACACGTTGCGACGAAAATTCGTGCGATTCAAACAGCGCCGCAGCGCCATGGCTGGGAAGTCCTACAGGCAGTGCATGGAGTGTTTCAAGCAGTTGCCGCGCGTGAATGCGCGGCAAGTTACATCGTTGCTGTTGCAAAATGAAGGCATGGCAAAAAACTCACTGCTCATGGATTCCGTCAGAGAAAAATTCGTGGCCTGTTGATGCTGCTCGCATCCATTCTTGAACAAGACGTACCAGTGCAGCATAGAGACATTTAGTTAACGGTGATCATGATGAGGAAGCCAGGAACGAGGGGGAACCTGTCAGAGGCAATTCCTGGATTGAGATCCTGCGCACAACTGATTGCTTCTAGTCGAAGGAGCCATTCCTACATAGACATAAGAAGGCTTATTTCCATGCCTGTACATTCTACCTCAGGCGTGGCATCATGCCTCCTTGAGTACATGCCCAGTCCTGTTGTGGATGATTCCAACATACGTTTGCTCTGTGTTTGCATCAACCGACATAACAATGATGTTACAAGGCCTCTTTCCTTCATCACAGGCTTTATTCATGGAAAAAGGCCTGCAGGAATATTTCATGTTGTTGTTTAGATCATACATAGCCCGTGTGCATCTGCTTTGTAATTAGAAGTGACCCTAGGCCGCATTTGGCTTAGCACGTGAGCCACCCCTGGCCAGCCCCAGCCTCGCCAAAAGATTGGTCACGTGACACGCCAGATACGAACAAGTATAGTAACTGATTTGCATGCGATGCCTACGAGCAGCCCCCATAAGATGTCCGAGAGGTATGACACATAGGCCGTCTGTTTCATGGTCTGGCAAATCTTTCCTGACTGGATCCTTTGGGCTTCTTGGAACGGGCCGTCTCCGAGACATTCTGTGCTCGCTTTCTGGGTGTGAAGTCGTAGGCTTCCGGCAACAAGACATGTCCTGGGTCGGCCATAGTCGTTGTCTTCTTAAACGGGGGATCTGAAGTCAACATTATGGATCGTTTTCATTGGTACTCGGAACAAACGACCCTGTCTCGCTTAAATAGATGGCGACTCGATCTTAACGATCGTAGGAAACATCGCAATGCCTTATCATCTCGCCAGATTACTGCTAGAGTTTGCGGCCAGCAAGAAAGGGGCCCTGAGTGTAGTGCGTGTCCCTGGTAGTCATACGTACCAGCCATCTGTGCAGTTTTAAAACATAAGGTGACTCAAGGAGCCGAATTCGCACTTCTCCATGCTTTCTCAAATATTCCCCGCAATGCCTGCGCCTCACTCTGGTCCCGTATCCTCTGCTCCAAGAACCCTTGTAAGTCATCCCAGAACGCAGCGGATTCAAGCACCGAGGCACCGCTTTCTACACCAGGCTGCACGGGCTCTGAAGCTGTTCTCGTAGCCTCCACTCCTTCCATAGGCGTCGCCTTCTCTAGCTCCGTGCCTGTGGCCGATGCCGGCACTGTGGGAGGTTGCTGGGTCGGCGGATCTGGGGCCCCACCCATGATCATGACGCCGAACTCGATATTGTGTCCCGCAGGCTTATTGTCCCATGCATCTGAGACGGTTTTCTTCGAGGGCGGGACCGGTTTCTTGTTCATAAGGATTTTAACCTTGTCTATGCCCACGACTGACGGTCCACCTAAGTGTGACTGTATTTGCTCTTTCAATGACTGGATGGTAGTAGTTTCGGGGTTTAACGAAGGTAACTCTAGTGTCATATTTGGATTCCGAGCAGATTTCAGCGTTATGGAAACTGTGGGTGCGGCGGCTTCGGAGCCTGGCGCTGGGGCGGCTGAAGGTGTCTTCTTTGGTGGAGATGGGTGAGGAGGATTGGAAAGTTTCGGCAATGTGTACTAGTTAAACTTGTCGTCAGGACTTTCTCACATTTGTCCTAGGAACAGGACACGCAGCTGGACTTACGGGAACTCGTAGTTGGAAAGTCTTGGGGTCAAAGACATGGTCGGGTTGGTACTTGGTGGGTTTCCCGTCCAGCGTGTTCAGGAATTGTTTCGCAAATTGTAAGTCCCCCATCTCTCCTGATCGGAGCTTTCGCTCTTCCTCCAAGCGACGAAGTGCGTGTGCTAGAGCAAAAGTTGCCAGGTTTATGGTTTCGGCTCGGCGGCGTCGAGCGAAATTGGATGGCTGGGTTATGAACGACCTATCGGGTGCGCAGACAAACCGACAAAGATAGAGACCGCTAGGATCGAGGTGCCGTGAAGGTGTATGTGGTCTGTGGGTTTACACCATATGAATGTGAGAGTTAGAGTGATTGACGGCGTGGAGTCTCGGCGGCAGCAAGGTTGAATATGCGATTGACATCACCAGGTCGATCGGTCGATATACTTCACCCTATATCACGAACCGCGGAGTACACGACTAGATTGACCATAATCGAGAAAAGGCATGTTGGATGTACGGGTTCATAGTCCGTCTTTCTTCTGACTAGGCCTTTGAACAATTGATGTCATGATGGATGCCATTCATCACTTCTTTTTCTTCTTCGTCTTATCGTCCACTACGATCCACCTCCTATCAACACCCCTTCTCGCCATTTCCTTCTCTACCACATCCCTCTGATCGCCTTGTACCAAAATCTCCATCATCCCAGGTTTCCCACCCACATGCTGTCCTACACTAGCACTTCCGGCACATTTCTTCTGCAACTCAGGGCCCAGAATGTGGGGGTTTATGCCAAACAGCTCCAGACCGGAGATCTTCGTAACAAGTTTTGTCCCTGTGCGTTTCTCGATCGTTAGATTCACGTGAGGCGATGGGCCAGATTTCGGTTTGAGGCCAGGGTCGGGGTGTTCTGGGTCATAGGTCTGGGCATTTCTCAGCAACAGCCAATGAGGTATGGCGAGATGGTCGTCTTCGAGTATTCGTTTCAAGAGAACGTCTTTGCCAATCTCGCCTAACGCAAGGACACGGGTGTCGACACTGGAAGGGTTAGACGAGAGGATATTATTGGAGATGAAAGGATCGAGTTTTATGAAACGCGGTGACGATGCACCAGTCGTCAGATTGGAGTTGCTCTCAATGTATTTTTTTAGAAAAGAGGAGATCTGTGATGCTGTGTAGAAGGCGGTTTTGGAGGGAAGAAGATCGGGGACAAGCTTGCTAGAAGCCCGGTAGATAGTCTGAATCGCAAGCTTTTGTCCTAAAGACGGATCGCCGCCATTGGCAGCAGCCTGGGACTCGCCGCTGCCATGCGTGCCTTCTTGGACTTTTGTTTTGGGTAGTTTGTATGGTGTGAATGTCTTGATCTTTTCGTCATGAAAATCGACGTCCAAGATTACAGTTTCGCCACCGTTCCTATCCTTCGACTTAACCAATCGGGCTTTGTCCAAATGCTTGATAAATTTCTTCGTGTTTTTCCATGATGTCTTTTTGATGTTGTAATGTTGATTTTGGAACCGTAGATGTGGCTGGATCATATTTGCGATCAGAAATGATGGCTGAATGGGAAAGTCGATGCCATAATGCGGTGGCTCCCCATTTTTCTTGGCGTTGTACAGAGCATATAGAAAGGCAGCCAGAAAAGCATCGTCCACTTCCTTTGTGGTGGGATCTTTTTCGGGTTCAGGATCCGAGGCATTTCCCTGTGTCGCTGATCCATCTGCCCTAAGGCTGTCTGTCTGGCTTTGCGAAGGTGCTATTGCAACACCACCTTGATCTTGTGTTTCGTCTTCGTCATCATCGTCGAGGTCCAGATTCTGTAGCGCTTCCCCAAGTTCTTCGGCTCTGTTATCCCAACCTTCAATGCTGTCGGGTGAAGGTCTGCCTCCGACTCCAGTCTGGCTCCAACTCCAGATCTCGTCACCCTCCCAGTGCACACCTTCCACGGCAGCACCCTTTGCGCCTTGAACCCTGCCCAGACTAGAGATGTCAATTTTACAGGTGCCTACCCAGATAGGGACAGTATCCTTCTCGATCCCAGCGACAGCCACAACCACTCCTTGTTTTGCGGCTTCAGGCCACGGTGGACCGCCAACAAGACCCGGGGTCATAAGATCTGCGCCAGTCCGCAGCTTGTCAACCACAAAATCCTGGGTATGGAGTAAAGGCACCAATCCAGGATTATGCCATAGCGTGTAGACTGTCGGGTAAAGTTTTGAGTCCTTGCCATATTGGATCCATAATATTCTCTCTTCATGGCCTGGATGAGCGCCAACATAAACCGTTCCTGAAACAAGGGTAGCACTTGCGCCAGCATGTGTGGTGAATCGAGCTGACAGACATATCTCGGGAACGAGGCTTGACCGTATCAGCGTGAGTGCAGGCGAGGGAGTGCTAGAGGAAGCAGAGGCTTGGATCTCGGCCGTCGACGCTGTTGTGTCAATTTCCTGTAGCGTTGGAACATGCACCCGGTACTCTGCAACGATTTGATCGGCAAGTTTCCTACGATCGGAGGATCTCAGTGGGGAGAGGTTCTTTATCTGAGGCTTCTTCTTGAACATGCTGAGGATGTAAAGTAGAGTCGGCCGGCGCTGAAGTTCGGCTGGGGGGAGGGGTCAAGAATGGAATTCCCAAATGGTGAGCGCTGCTCCGATCCCGATTTTTGGTCCCGACCTGCCTGCGGGCACTGGATCTTAACCTACTGGAGGTCGAGGAAACGGGTAGACTCTTTCGCGTGAGTCATACAAGATAATGTTAAGTGGTTGCGCTTATGGCTTGCAGCTAAAGTGGAGGGTTGTCAAAATAAGTTGGGGGGAAAGAAGAATACTACGTCACTTTCTCTAATTGGCACCATCAACGATAAATAATTCTACCTGTCAAAAGACGGCTCATTCAATTTGTGCCTCCTGGACATTCTGAGATGGCAATGCCCCAGGGCTGAAAATACCACCTGTGAATCTAGCCACTGGTCAATGAGCATAGATACCTCTCTTCTCCTTCTTCGCCTCCTTCCACCAGTCATCAGACGGTTCAAGGATCCCGGGAAGTGGAATATGCTCTCTCAACTTGCGCTTACTCTCCTGGTCAATTCCCTGTTCCTGATTCCGCGATGCCATCTCCTGATCGACATCCAATTGCATGGACTCGGTCAATGAACCCATCAGTGTAGGTTGACCGAGGGGCAGTTCGTGCCCCTTGTCAACTTGCCAGAAGTGGTAGAGTTTGCCATATAGCCCAACGACTTCTTCCATCGCCTTGGTCTCCAGTTCATCCCATGCCTGCTTGTTTTGACCGTGTGATCTCGGGTAAGGGAGCACTAGCATCCCTGACTTGACTTCAAATTCATGGGAGTGCCATAGCTTCTGCTCCTCGGGGTCTAACTGTGCGTAGCGAGCTTTTGGGATCATATACTCGACACCAATCAAACGGGCATCAGGTCGGCATGAGTCATAGATCAAACACTGCCTCAGATCTTTTTGACGGTCATTCATCATTCAATGATTGCTTGTCTCTCATGTGCAGCTGACTCACCTTTGCTCACGTGCGAACAGAAATGATGTGCTGAAACCGTTCGAACCCCACCACGTCTTGCTTCTTCGGTGTAGATATGCAGAGCATGGAGATATTCGCAAATACCATGTAATGGTTTGAACTCAGGCTCGACGGTTCCTCTGACATGAGTTTCGATGCCGAGATAAAGTAACCATGACTTGATCCATGCAGTTGGGCTGAACTTGAGAGCCCAGGAGGCCACGTTGGAGATGGAAGGAGCAACTATCTGGCTCTGACTCATGGTAGGCTTTCAATTGTTCGGCCTAATCTGTCAGGAAGGAGTGACAACAATAAAGAAATGGTTCCGGGGCGGCATCGAATGCGATGGCAATGACTTAACTCATGAATGATCTGATGTCACCGGCGGGGATCTATTACGTCCTCGAGAAAGGGAACATCTCATGGTTTCCACCAACGGTGCGCTTTCCTTGCAAAGCGGGCTGGATCTGGGAGCAATCATGTTAGAATCCTACTGCTGTCAATTCTCTTTTCAACGAGATGTAGTCTTCCTCAACGGAATCTTCCGTCGACCATGTAACATCTGCTCGCCACGGATTGTTTTGTTGTGACGGAACGGGCATCCGTCAAGAGATACCACAGGGCGAGAAACCCGACCCCGCACGAGACTGCAGCGGGGATGTCGGTTATTGGAGATGAATTTACGCTTATGGTGGCCTTCTCTCGGCTCGAATATTCGGGACGCCCCTCCATGTCCATCATCGGAGTGAGCCAGATCATTCAACTTGGCTGGTCTGGAGAAGAGGTTCAAAGTATCCTGACCTCCTAAGAGAATTGCTTGCGGACTACAGCGACTAGGAGCAACATTGACTTTACTCACACTCCGAGTTTCGGAGGACAAGATTAAGACATTGTCAATATTTCCACTCCAGACCATCTCTGATGTTCTGCCTTCAAATCTTCACTTTTGTTTCACGCAGTGACGAGTGCTGAAAAGTCCCTTTTGACAAAATGGTTGGCCGTCTCGAGGGCAAAGTAGCCATTGTGACCGGTGGAGGCAGCGGTTTTGGCACAGGCATCGCAACCAAACTCGTCCAGGAAGGGGCGAAAGTCCTGATTAGCGATCTCAACGAGGATGCCGCCTCCAAAGTTGCTTCGTCGCTCGGTATCGAGTATCTTGTTGCCAATGCAGCGAAGCGCAGCGACTGGGAGTCGCTGCTGAAGAAGGCTGTTGATACTTTCGGGGGCATAGACATCATCGTCAATAATGCCGGAACCACGTACAAGAACAAGCCAACCGAGACGGTCACCGACGAAGACTTCGATCTCGTCTTTGATGTCAACGTGAAAAGCGTGTATCTCTCAACCAGTGTTCTGTTGCCCTACTTTCTTGAAAACAATCGACCGGGGGTGTTTATCCAGATCGCCTCAACTGCAGCTCTCAGACCGCGCCCCGGACTCACGTGGTATAATAGCTCTAAAGCAGCTGTCAGCAATGCAACGAAGACGATGGCTGTAGAATATGGTCCAAAGAAGATCAGGTTTAATGCGGTTTGCCCAGTTGTGGGAAGCACAGGATTGTAAGTTCACAGGGCCCTTGGGCTTCCTGCAGGATCTGTGGATGAATCTTCAACAGGAGCTGACAGTCATCATAGGACACATTTGTTCATTGGCAAGCCAGACACTGAGGAGAACCGCGCGGGCTTTGTTTCGACCATACCTTTGGGTCGAGGCAGTACACCCAAGGACGTTGCAAATGCCGTGGCATACCTTGCTAGCGATGAAGCAGAATTCATCACAGGAGTCAACCTTGAGGTCGACGGCGGTAGATGTGTTTGAAGCCCGAAACATGGGGTTGATGTGTTAGCGCTGCATCTTGCATATTCACAGTCAGAACTCATATTCGACAAGCTTGTTTTCCCCCTCACAGACGGCTCTGCAGGAAAAAGCCGGTGCCCCCCTGGTGAACTGGATTGTACGCCACTTTCTGTGAGAGTGAATGATTGTTCAGGAAACTTAGCAGAGGAATATTGACTCGTCGACTCTTCTTACAATCGAGTGACACGAATCTCAACAAAACATCTGAAACTTAATGATGGTGGCTTGGTTTGCCAAATACGGAGCTTAAGTTGGAGAGCGGTCTAGAACGATTGTGTCAAACACGTGAACTGTTGATAGAGGCTGACAGCCTCACTCAGCAATACGACCCGCAGTTGTTAAAAATCAACTGTTCTCTCGACAGGGTCTTGACCCTGCTCTTCGTCACGTCGCAAGGGGTAAGTAAAATCTGGTCGGGTGCCGAACACTACGCGTGAACAGTTGATAGCACTGTCATTATGTTCATAGCCATGTGCAATTGTGCAGGTTGCATTCTTCTGGTATGTGCCGCATCCGTGAAGTGGATCGGAGGCAATTTGCGTGGATTTCAATCGGTTGGCTTAGAGCAGTCAAAACCACGGATTGATTCCGACCATCGTGCATCGAGCATCCTCGATTCGATCATGAGACAGATTGTTTACACCAGCGGCCCTCGGATCGTGAAGTTGTGTTCAGATCACCGGGGTGGTCATGTAAGGCTGTTGCAGTCGTACAAAAGCTAGGCCCTGTGATAGTTATCTTTCCCGCTTGTGCCCAAAGGTTGCTTTGTTGCCACTTATCCCGTGGGGACATCGACTGATTGGAGCCGATCATGGCAAATTGTTGCTCAGACGACTTGTACGGAGTCACCCAACGAGATAAATCTTGATCTTCGGAAGTACATAGGCACAAAGCGGGACAGGATAGCGTGGACGGGTTGGAATGCGTAGTAGCCGAAATCGAAATGACGGTTGACACCCATACCCGTATCGTGTTCTGAGCCCGAGCCTGAGCCTGAGCCTGCGTAGCCTTGAGGCTGAGTGCATCAAGCCTGTTCCGATGCTCACGTTCGTGGTGTTCTGGGATTGGGCGCAATCGCGCACAACCAAGCCGGATGACAGGTTGTGCAAAGCAGTTTCCGCATGTGTGAATTCATGTAACCATCCCGTGTCCCGCCTGGCGCCTGAAGCGAGGGTTCAAGGCCCTTGACAGAGGAAGGGATGTTGACTGACAGGAGAACAGGGTGATTTCATTGGAGAACCGAACTTTACAGAGTTGTATCAGATGCTCCTGGTTCAACTATTGTCTGGAAGCTCCAAATGGATGATCAAGAAGGCAGACAGCTGCTCACATCCAATCAATTGATAAAGTGCACAAAGCACCTGGCAGTGAAGCAATCTTTTGTGACATGACATGGACTCGGGCAAGTTTTCCAGAAGGGTGTTCGTGATGTTTGATTTGTCTGTATGCGTGGCAGCCTATCGAGGATAGTGGGAGATATCTGATCCAATGAATGCACCATGAGCAGAGACGCTAGAGTCTTCTTGTGTCATGCGGCGGGCTAACCGACCAACCAACCGGATGGGGGGACAAGAGGACAAAAAGACCCATTTCTCCCTTGGTGCGTCGTCCTCCGTACACCACTAATAATACTGCGCAGAAATCCTGGTTGTGTGAGTAGCTTTCGAAGGTGTGGCTGACAGGACCAGCACGGTATCCCCAACACCAACATCTTGGGCCTAGATTCGTGGTGGCTGATGTTTAGATTTGTCCTTACGAGCAGTTGTCCATGCTATGCACAAATGTTAGGAGTAGGAGGACCCCCTCTTTCCTGGAGGTCATCGATGGCGGTGGAGCCTGCCTCTTCAAATGTTCTTGAGTCGGTACTCGCGAGATACGTGTAGGGAGCCGCAGGTTGAAATGCAGGTACCAGTTTGGCCAGGCTACCTTCACCCACCCGCGGCCCAACAATGGAACAAACAGTATCCATATTACTCCGCAATATCGAAGTACAATCACGGATGTTGCCAGTAAAACGGAAAGGTCACAAGGCTGGCTCCTCCGAGTTGCTTTTCGTTGCTGAAAAAAGGAGCCTCTTACTCGTAGAATCGTAGCTTCTCCATGATTGGTCTTGGGCGGTTGAGCCACAAGTTCATCAGGAATCAATTTTACAAGTCGTACACTAAACCGAAAGCGAGCATGGATTTAGAGGGGCGACTGAAACCCACTTTGCCATAGGCTTTCACGGCCGATGTGATAACTGTATGCTGATGGCCGATCGATTGTGATTGTGGAAGTAAAAGCGTCGAAGCTGCTTCTAAGCGAGAGGGTTGACGCAGTCTTTGCGAACTCGGATGCTTGAAAGCAGGCCGGCATACCGTGCGGCTTTGCAATGGCGCGCACTGGTTGGGGAAAGTTGGCTAGGACGAGGCATCATGAAATCCGCGCTTCTGCAAGACTAAACAACTCGTCACCAAGCTACTGTTCAATTCGACATAGCTGATATGCACGCACCGGGACGGCTCCAAATGCAGCCCACGGCTGGCTACGGCTAGCTAGTACTTAGTGCTGTAATATGGCTAGCTCGGTATCGTTAGCTGCATTGTTAGCTTCGTTAGAAGCGCAAGGAGAACGGCTGGTTGGTTGAACCCCAACGGCCGCTAATGACTTACGGGAAGCGCCGGCAATTCCTCCGACTCATGAAAAATCCCCCACTGGCAGCTTGGAACTGCAGGGCGACGGAGTACAAGGCACGAGGTGCTCGTCCGCAGGTTATCTTTGCATGCATCGCCGACATTGGCAAGAATCTACGAGCACAATCAGGATATGTAACAGGGAAAAATCATCGACGCTGACATTTGAGGCCTCGGAGGGCTTCGAGGATCCCAGTTTACCCTGAACTACTCGTACTGGATTAGAGACAGGTTCAGAGTATTTCCTCCGTTGGCCAGCCACTCCGTGCTCCGTGCAAGACACTGGTACCGTTGCGACCAGACGTAGGAAAGCGTCGTTCAGAGTCATGCTCGAAACCTTCTGGTCAGCGGCGGTTTTGCTAACAGATTGACCCTCGCAGACTGTAAAGTTCGGGTACCGGACCAGGAAACATGACCGACCTGCCCCGGTCTTGGTCCAAGGGCCCCTAATGCTTTGCGCAGTAGGCCGCAGGTCCTGGGAGTTTGGGACAAAGCCTGGCCTAGGGCCGCCCGGACCACCCTCAAGCGTACCCCGTATGCATTCTCGTCTACCAAAAACTGCAACCCTGGTGCTTGGCTTTCCAGTTTTGCCCCTGCAATTTACTGCTCTTCCACGCCCATGTCCCTGGGCCGTCGGACAGCCTGTCAACCATGCTCGTCCCTAGGCGAACGTCTGCCAAGACAGGCTTGCCACCCTGGGTAGAGATCGCTCACCGTCTAAGAGAGGACACCACGAGTCCACGACTTTTTCTCCTTGGTCATTCTGGTTGATAGATGTTCCTATCCGTATCGTGGTCTAACTCAAAACCATCACATGTAGGAGACGGGATATTCGACCGCTCTTTGAAATCTCACAGTATCAGCCACCAGGCGGGTGGGTGCACTGACTTCATTATTCGATACGCTTGTGAGCGGCGACGGTGACACGCGAAAAGGTTCAAGATACGACCGTATTTCGGCTACTTTGTAACACAGCATCGAGAGAGAGCGCACTTAGGCTAGTTTCCTCATCGAGAAGAGCCAGTTCCGGCTGGAAAGACCTTTGCCATTACTGTTTGGAATTCAAGGTGTGTGTTTACACCTCTCACCTGGTGCGAGGCACAAATAGGGCATTTTGGGATGCAAGGCGAATAAAATCAAATCAGGTGAGGCTGCATGTCTGTGCAGGTGGCCACGGAGCCATATTCGCCTGGCAGCAGTGGCAGCAGTGGCAGGAGGGGGCAGGACCATGTCCGAAGAGAACTAGCACAAGTCGAGACTCGAGAGCTGGTACAGTCGCTTAGAGCCAACTCGTGGGCGCTTGGAGCATCAGAGATCAATTCATCAAACACGTTGCTGCCACGCTCTTAGCTTCCAGATTGTTTCTGCCCACGGAGCACGGAGTCTTCGAGATTGGCTTCCATTACAAGTCTGACGATGTTCTCTGGTCACACTACGGGGTACGAACTAGGAGGCTCTTGAATAGCTGTTGTGTGGCGAACGAGTACTCCGTACAATGAGAAGACTACTCCGAGAAAGTCACTAGCAGTAAGGCCTATTGGGGCCGTGCAGGAGAACTGGGTCCTACGACAAAATACATGCCGACCCGTAGCGTTGTGATGGCGAGCGTAGTGGGATCCCTCTAACCTTGTCCCGTATGGGCAGCATAATGGCTGGGCTCAGAGAGCCGGGGATGATCGTCGTGGAGGGTCTGTGCGGTAAGACCATTACCGCGGCCAAGATCGCTGACGGCGATGACTTCAACGATGCCCCAAACCGTTCATGGCGTGCAGGCAAACTAGGGACCAATGGGGGCCCGCTGAGGCCACCGAGGCCCGTGTTCCAGCTCAAGAGTGAGGGGAGGTTTAAGCGAACATGCACCATTTGCACCCTAAGCCGGGGAGAGTTAGCCAAAATTATAGGGAGGGGTGGGTCTGCCGCGCTAGGCTGGCTGGCCCACGCCGATGCCTGCCTTTGGGGATCCCTTAGCCAGGGTGTTGGTGCCACGCTTGGGTTAAGATCGGTTAGCGAGTGATTAGCGCCCCTAGTCCCTGGCAAAAAATGAGGATCCGCGCAAAGGTAGTGGGTCTGATTATTGAAATTAGTGGGTTGGTGCTCCCAAAAGTCCCAGTCTCGGTTGCTCCCATGAGCTGGTTCTGGCACTGACAGAGTGGAATCTGGGATTTGGGAACTGGGACTGGGACTGCGACTACGATTGGGGGGGAACTGGTCCCCCGGCAGTCCCAAGGAGCCACCAAGACAGTTCGCCCACTGCTACGGAGCACTGCTGCTGCAAGGACTGCGAGGTACTCCGGCTCCTCTCACATCACTGCCAGTGCCTCGTACTGCCAGTCTGCCACTCCGGACACCACCACCCCTCGACCACTACCTACGACCTGCACCACCCAGCTCGCCTTCATCCTCTTCTCGGTCTTGTCAGCCGTCTTTGCTTCCTTTCCCTCCTCTCTTCTCTATCTCACTGTCGCTGCCCTTCAACGCCAGGGTTTAGCACAGTCTGACTCTTGTTATCCTCGTCTTCCTTATTGTCTTCTAGTCCGCCAGACTGTTTTTTATCATCCACCCACTCACGGCTTCTCCCACTCTCAGCCAGGTCCACAGTCCAGTCTCCGCTGCAGATCCCTCTACCAAGTCTCTTCTACCAACAAAAATCAACAACGAAAACATATCTCACTAATTGCATCATATCATCCATCTTGTGTCCTCCCAGCATCTGAACAGACTTCACACCCCATACTGCGATTTTTGGAATTAGCCTCTGGTCATCCCATCTTGTCCGCGGATTCCAACCACCTGCGCTTGAATTGCCCTCGCAGAAACAAACAGTGGGCAATTGGAGACGACTGCAACTTCCAACAATCCGGTCACAAGCCAATTACAGGGCTCCACGGCGACCAACAAAAATAGGACTTTTTTTGGGTTTTAAAGAAGTGGTCTAATAGAACCAGTTTTTGCTCTTGGGGTCTTTTGGAAAAGGCAACCATTTTCCTCTTCGCCTTGTCTGATCCCGGCACTGCGGCAACCCTAAACTTTTCGGGTTGGGAGCTCAAGTTCTGAACGAGTCAGAATAGTCGAACCCAAGGGTCAACACCGGTTAGTCTCTATCTTTCCTTGGTTCCAGCCATCAAATCCACTATTGCTCCCCATACAACTCGAAAATGGCTGCTCTCTATGTTTGAGAAATGGTCCCGTTTATACATTCACGATGTTTTGCTCAGTCGAATCTTTCGTGGTTGTTTTGTCCCTTTGCTTATATTCTCTCCTCCGCCACATTTGAACCTCCCAACATCCTTTCCCCTGGAATATCTGTTTTCCTCGTCTTGCTACTATGCCACCTCTCTCTCTTCGCTTGAAGATGGCTGAACCAGAACCAGGTTCAGAGCACTCGTCTGAGGAGACACCTGCCAACCTCGACAAAGGTAAAGCCTCGGTCCGAGATCAAGGCCGACTTCCTAGCATAAGGGATCTCGTTGGAGACCAGCTCATTCTGCCCAAACCGTCTGCGGCTCCTACATTCCCAGAATTATACGTTCCAGGCTGCACTCAATTGTACCTGGACGACCTTCCAATTGTTTCCTACGAAATTGTAGGAATCTGGTACAATATGGCGCAGCCAACCAATGAGACAAGATCCTCGCACTCGCGGTGGACTGTCGATCGTCGAGAGATCAAATACAAGCTAGAGGTGGTTCAACAGCCAGAAAAGGCAAGAGCTTGTGGTTCAGGACTGCGATGTATGTGTGGACAATAATACCCTGACGTCCCCTTCATTGACCATTTATCTTTAGCATCGGCCGACCGAAGACCAGTCGATCCTCCGCCTGTGGTTGAATTGAGAGTGTACGCTAATGAAGTTGATGTTACCATGTCCTATGATGCCACATTTATGCTCTATGCGAGCTTGGAAATCTCCCGCCCCATAGCACATGGGAAGATGCATACACCCCAGGCCCCGCCGGTTCTAACAGGTGTTGCAGTCGCTAGTGCCGCCTATCTTGATCGTCCTAAGCCTGCTGCATACTTCATTTTCCCAGACCTATCTGTCAGACATGAGGGTTGGTACCGGTTGAAATTTTCTCTGTTCGAAGGCGTCAAGCACGAAGCAGATGCGGATCTAGGCAAACCATTTGTCCATCCACCTCCCAGCAGCTCCAAATACACGGCCCCCGTTCGCCACGAGAGCATGTCGAATCGCATGGAGGTTCAATCAATTCCTTTTCAGGTCTTCAGTGCCAAGAAGTTCCCAGGCCTCAATATGAGCACCGATCTTAGTAGATTGGTTGCTGAGCAAGGTTGTCGTGTTAGGATTCGACGAGACATACGCCAGAGGAAGCGAACGGCGAAGACCGATGGAGATGTCGAAGATGCACATGGCTCTTATCAAAATACACCAGTACCTTCATATCGACCTTTGGACCACTCGCGTTCCACAAGCCGAAATAGTCTTGATCTCAAGTTTGAAGCTGATGCCCGGAGAGCTTCGGTTGAAAGCCTCTATCGCCAACCTATCATTCCAAGTCGCCAAACATCCATCACTGGCATTCCTTTGGGCAGCCCTAGTTTACCCAACCCTGCACAAATTACGAGTGCTATGCCACCGCCACCACCAACATTTTCTCAAAGCTCATTGATTCGACCGCCTACAGAGGGCTCGCCGCTTTCATCACCGTTCACTCCAACCCAAATGTCAGCACCAATGTCCTTGCCACATTCGTCACCAATCCGTGCAGAGTCGTCACGACCAAAATTCACCACTGAGCTGGAGAGCAATGGTCCTACACTTGCACCTCTAAGAAGCCTTCCTCGGCCTTTGTATGTGCTGTCTGACAGTCAGCCAACCAAACGGTCTGCCAGCTCCCGTAGCTATGATGCCGAAGCATCACTGAAGGATCGTCAGCGCCCCGATAATCGACGTTTTGGTTCGATGTATGGCCCCACGTTCTGGAGCCCTGACATCAGTGCGGACGGTGCCAATCAAGTGATTGAACCAGACAACGGTGATGGTGATGATGTGGATGAACCTTCCTTTGGGGGACCTATGATCTACGAACGAGCTGATGGCTCCAGACAGAACAAATGGAACCGAGGTCTAGCCCCATGAGGCGTAACTCATGTGATGGTATTCCTCTGAATTTGCCTGTCTTTGGCGAGTCCTCTTTGATAACGACGATACCGACCAAGTATGAACATACCCATTCAGCAATTATCCCTCCGCCTGTTCTCACTGGGTGTACGGTCTGTCTGCGCGGTGCTTGCGGCGAAACAGCGGGTGTTTTTTTTCCTCGGGTGTTGGATTCACCAACCTTTTCTCCTAGGGCATGGGACACACAGAACCAGGAGTCCTTGTGGCACGGGTTGGGCGCAAACAGACTATCCTTGAAGCCTCGGCCCCATCATTCTACTAGGTGGAATCTACTGTCTCCGGTTTTGTGGAACAGCTTTATCAGCAGCTGTAAGTGTTTGATTCTGGCTCTAGACGAGCGAGAGTAGATGAAGCCATGACTTTGGAAGAGTCGGGTGAAAAGGGTTAAAATCAGAAAATAGCTTTTCAACTTCATTGTGCATCATTCTAGGGTTTGAGTCTTTGGGTAAATGTGTTTGGCAGGAGGGTTGGAACGGAAGGAAGGAAATGGACCACGGACGAGAAGCAACATGGGTAGACATACCGACTCTGGTCCACAGTGGGATCAGTTATCAGTTCACGCTCTTCACACTCGTAACATGAGAATCGAATGCAGAATGCAGATTACACACTTGATGGATTTGGTTCGTGACCAGTGTTTTTACCAGTATCTATGTATAGCTGTAGCAGTTAAGTTGTTGGGTTCTGTTCGTGATTCTACAGTAGAATCATGAACAGAACTTGACACACCCCTTATCCTTTTGCAGATACTCCGGTCATACTAATTAGAGGCCAATGTACCCATCAGCCCGTCTGAGGCTCTTACTCTGTCCCAAGACTCATTAGATCCTCATCGGGACTATTATTATTCTAGGCGAGGGCAGACGCTTTTCTCTGATTGTTTTTGCCAGGTAGAGAGAGATACCGGTCTCATGCAAGGCTCTGGCAAAGGGAGATGGCGCAGTACCGTCACCCCCCTTCCCTCCCCTGCTCGATCCCACGGCACGGGTATGTAGAAAAATCCCTCATCCGACCTACAGTATGCAAAACTCCACCAGCCTGTCCTATCCTCTCCCTCCTTTCCGCCATCTTGAGACGTTCGGGAAGATTCTCAGCTACCCAAAAGCTGCATTCAGCGGCAAGTCCACAGCCAACCGACAACTACCTACTCCGTGTACAGATCCAGATCCAAAAGTGCCTGGTGGGTCCTTTAGGGGGCTGTGAGTAGTGGAAACGGCCCAAGTCAAAACGAAGGCCCGGGGGCTTCAAGCGTCTGCGGGATCCCCTTCCGTTCGTGCAGTATTTTTATTCCTGACCTGACGGGGATGCAGAGGAGCAGCGCACCCCGCACGGTAGTTTGTCGCTTCAGGCACCAGGACCGAGACGCGTGACGTCGATGAGTTTTTGGCGGGCAGGCACGACTGCGATGTTTCTTTTTAAGCAATCATGAGACGCGTCGTTCCGCGTCGCTGCGAGTTTGTCATGACCGGATCTCTCCATTCACGGGTCGTACATATTCCAGGAGTCTGCCGCGTAATTTATCGGCAAGGAGCACACAGGTGGACGTTCAATTATTCATGATGGATGTCAAGGCCCCTCGGGGCTCGGTAGTTGGTTGAGAGGTAGCGCGGATAATCTCGTATATACGAGCTACTCGTACAGCTTACATCCATCCCAGGGTGCGGATAAGAATGGCGGATGCAGGATCTACTGATCGGATCGTATGTACAGTATGTACCAGCAGGTTGAAACATCCGGCACCGTTGCATGGATGGCTTGCCGCTGGACTGGCTTGATTGCTTCCACCTGGGAACGACCGAGTCCGAGTCCGCCCTAAGAAGTACCGGGCTCCACTGATGTGAACCAGGGAAGAAAAGCCCACAACTTGTACGAGTACTGCCGGAGACCATGGAGAGCCACTTGTGCGTTGAGATGTGGACTTTCCTTATCATGGATGAGGATATAAATGGGGATGGAGATGGATCCTCTTGGGGGCCTGGTTTTGTTTCAAGTCGAGGCTGAGTGAGGTTGAGATTTGGGCCCCATTTTGGGGCGGAGGTGTCCACCGACTTGGCTCACCGCAGGCGAGGGAGTGGTATGAGTACGGAGTAGTGAAGTACGGAGGTGTTGCATTGAAAGTTGTGTAAGAGGCTTTAAAATACCGGGCTATAGTAATATTTCACTATGTAATATAGTCTGACAGATTATTTATTCTAGGCTAGTTAGGCTTTGTTAGGGAATAGAATACCTAATCCCCCCTAAGATGTCCCCCTAACTTAAGCTAACTTTGAGTACTATTAGATATCTATTAGGGCTGAAGAGAATCTCTAGGGAGTGTTGCTGTAGAAACGCGATTAAAATTAAATATGTCTTCCAAAATTATGATAGTGTCATTAGAAAGCTATGTCATTCTCTACTAGCGCGTACACAACTTTTGATGTACACCTCTGTATACTGTAGACCTAAGTGGAAAACGAAGCGTGCACCAGTCGATTGAGGAATTGTGTATTTCTTGTGAGCTTGTCTATTCTGGTAGCTCTCCAAGTGCAGCTATTGAGCTAAGGTATGTCCGGAGTCCGGAGTAGTCTATGGTTGAATGGTATCTGAAACCGGGTGAAGACGCAGCTATCTAGGGAGTCAGGCCAGGTATGATCTTCACTGGTAGTAGTCTCCAGAATTAATTACAGCTTACGAAGGACTCGTTGATAGTCTTTTTCTCTCCTCACCTTTTACTGAACCAGCTTCCAAAGCCATCGTAGTACCTTGCTAGCAACTAGGATATGGGATCTCTTGTCCCTGCTTTTGAGGGATGCGACATTATTGCCTCTCTCGCGTCGACCTGCCTTCCGCCTAACTTGAACTATCCCGCTCCGTCCCAATCAAGGAGCGGGTTGACGGCACCATTCCAAATGACCTTCTGGCGAGAACTGTTAATCAGGCATCGTCTTTTCTGTAGGATGCTAACATGGTACCTAAAACTGCGGCTAAGGTGTGTAACATTGTTCGTTGATGATTGGCACGGCGAGCGCAATGCCTCGCTTCAATAAGAGCTTGCGGCTGACACCGAGCTCAAGGCTGTCGCGAACCTTGTCGGGTTGAACCATGTAAGTCCTACATAAATGTCGGTACCACTGATCAAGGTTGGCAGTGGGCTGGTACAGGCGGAACAATATCCGGACGCCCACAGGCTGGTTGTATCTGGGTCCTCTCAATCAAGCACGTCAGTGGGCTCCAAAATTGAGTTTGAGTTGATCCGTGCGGATCTAGAGGACTCGTGCTCGTAACCGGAACTCGGTACTGTTATTGGGGATGCCATTCAGGTCTTTGCGTCCGCTTTTAGCACTGTTCATGTCAATTAACCACATGCCCCCCTTGGAGGCAAGTTTTGAACTTTCAATCGATGTTTTGCAATGGGAATCACTGGGATCGATGCTGTTCTTCTAAAGAAGGGTTGGTACGCCATATTGATTGGTGTTGAGCGCAGGAGTGTTTTTTTGGCTCTCGCTTGTCACTGGGTCTATGCTCGTTTTGACAGCTGACAGCTGATCCCAATACAGAGGATGACAGCGCCAGCCATGTCCCGGAGTTTCACCTAAGGCCAGTCCGACAGTTTGGCCGGCAGCTGTCAGTTCAGAGAATCATTCATGCTGCCGTTCGTCTTTGAGGCCATCTTGTCGAATCATCTGTTCTCGTTTCGGACTTGATGGACAGACAAATTCTATGTCGGCGAGATTCATCCATGACAAGCAAATTCGCGGAGGGTCCCCTGGGAAGGCCTTGAAGGGGCATTATTTCGACGCATTGCTGAATTGAGCAGCTGACAGCGAGACCGGCGCCAGTCGAGTGCCATTGGCACGGGACTGTTTTGCTCCAGGAGCGCAGCCGACAGAATCCGAACGCCTGGTTGATGGTCGATGTCACAATGAACCATGGTACGCCCCTGTACCCGCATTCTGGTACGCTGTCACATGTTTTCTCCTGAAATGGATGATGCTGGCGTTGTGGAAGAAGCCAAATGCTGTCCTGTGCTTCGCATGCTTGACACTATCACAAAATAGTCTGTACTCCCAAATGGGGACTTGATTCCAAGCGCACAGACCAAGTCATGCAATCGCTGATTTCACGGCGGATCGTTTTCTGGGCATCCTGTTGGGAATAAAAAGGCTATTAGACGCCGAGGCTGGCTCGAGCTTCAGGAGTCAGCCTCTCATGCATTGATCCCATCAAGCTAATCATCGGATAGAGCAACCACTAATTAAGAGAATACTCTTCTCCGATTCGGGTTGGAGAAACCCTGTCGCTCGAGCACGACATTGACTCCTTCAACTTGGGTTTGAACATTCCAATCAAGCTCTGGATGACTTGCTGTAGCTTTGGAACGGGTATCACTTGGAAAGAACAAGGTCCCCTTCTCTGGGAGAAAGAGGTAAAGAAGGCTTGGTTGAGGCTGCGCTTCCCATGAAAAGGAAAAACCATTTCATTCACTAAGATATACAGCAAAACCGTTCTGTTATTTGCTTGTCATAGTAACTCGCCTGCTTCCACGAAGCCTTTAGTAAGATCTTTTCACGGGAGGGACTGTCTTGCATTCAGCTTCATCCAGCGTATGCATAGTCACTGCTCGGTATCCTATCTGGATGTCCTTGCCGACGTCCTGCTGCCAACTCAGGCTGTGCTTCATGAACTCCTTATCATTTCGATCTGAGAAATCTTCCCGCGCATGGCTTCCCCTAGACTCCTTCCTCAACAGAGCACTCTTCGTAGTTTGCGCCGCGCATGTGAGTAGGTTGCGCATTTCCAACGTTTCGATAAGGTCTGAGTTCCAGATCAGGCTTTTGTCTTTGACGCAAACATCCGTTGCAAATGCTTCCTCGACTTCTTTGAGTCGCTGTGCACCTGCTGAAAGACTCTCTTTGTTCCTGAACACAGCGACATCCGTCTGCATGGCTCTCTGCATTTCCATCCGTAAATCGGCCGTGAGTCTAGTGCCATTTGACGTTCGGAACTTCTCGAGGTCTTCAAATCCGGTGATCCCAATTTCAGGGGTTATGCTGCCTCCGTTTCTGAAGACCGGCATTCCAATTTCGTTGTTCTCTGCGATGTCCCCTGCTGCTGCTCGGCCGAACACCACAATATCCAAGAGACTGTTGGCTCCAAGACGATTGCTGCCGTGAACACTGACGCACGCCACTTCGCCTGCGGCGTAGAGTCCCTCGACCGGCTGCTCAGAGCCAGAGTCCGGATCAACGCGAAGCACTTGGCCTTTCCAATTAGTGGGGATGCCACCCATGCAGTAATGGACTGTTGGTATCACTGGAATTGGTTCCCGAGTGATGTCAACACCGGAGAAAATGCTTGCAGTTTCTGCAATTCCTGGAAGTCTTTCCATAAGAACTTCTTTTGGTAAGTGGGAGAGCTGGAGATATATATGGTCTTTATCTGGACCGCAGCCACGGCCTTCCCTTATTTCCATGTTCATGCTCCTACTTACGACATCACGGCTGGCAAGGTCTTTGGCTGTAGGGGCATATCTCTCCATAAAACGTTCACCTCGACCGTTAAGCAGATATCCCCCCTCGCCTCTGGCGCCCTCAGATATCAACACCCCAGCACCATAAATTCCGCTGGGATGAAACTGAATGAATTCCATGTCTTGAAGAGGCAGTCCAGCTCTCGCAGCCATTGCAAGGCCGTCTCCAGTCGAGGTGTGAGCGGAAGTAGCTGAGAAGTAAGCACGACCATATCCACCAGTAGCAAGGAGGGTGTTTCTTGCAAATATCCTGTGCAAGGTACCTGTTTCCATGTCAATCGCAGTCAGACCTATGCAGTTGCCACCGTCCATAATCAGGTCCAGAGCGAACCACTCGATATGAAATTGACAATTGTGCCTCAGGGCCTGGCCATATAAGGTATGAAGCATGGAGTGGCCCGTCCGATCCGCGACACAGGCAGTCTAGGGAGCCAGAATCATTAGCGCATCTTCTTTACAGGAAAGAGGACTCATTGGAGCTTCTCCGTCATTGAGAGCTCGACATAATGGTACGAGGATCACTTCGCGGGCGGGTGGCTGACATGTCCTCAAATACTCAGATGGACTTACCCTGTATGCTTGCTCTTTCCCGTAATTTAGGCTTTGACCACCAAGAGGCCGTTGATAAATAAGGCCAGAGTCGGTTCGACTGAAAGGCATACCATATTCCTCAAGCTCGCGAACTGCCCTTGGTGCCTCCCGACACATATAATGGATCGCGTCCTGATCCCCAAGCCAGTCGGATCCCTTAACGGTGTCGTACATATGCCATCTCCAGTCATCCACCGTCATGTTTCCCAGTGCAGCATTGATGCCACCTTGGGCCGCCACCGTATGGGAGCGGGTGGGAAACAATTTGGTCACGACAGCGGTGTCGAGTCCCGACTCTGCAAGCCCAACCGCAGCTCGCAGACCGGCACCCCCGGCACCAACTATGACAGCATCATATTGATGATCGACAACCTCGAACCTTGCCCGAGAGCCGTTGATGGAGGAATTGGTCGCTTGTCGACGTTGGTGGAATGGCCTTTTCTGAATGGATGACCATTTTGAATACCGACGACTTAAACACGGTGGTGGCTTTATGACAGTGGGCACAATTCGTGGCAAGAACGCCTTCATCTTGAAGAATACCTTACTCAACTGCAATCGAGCATGGAGGATGAAGCCATGGGTGTCCCAGAATCCCCTATTTGGTAGGACGAGACGCAGAGTCACGATCAACAGCAGAAGCAACAGTCCTGACGGTTAATATCGAAATCTCGAAAAGCAGATTCGAGAGCCAGAGGCAGTTCCGAGATCGCTGGCCTGTTGATCTCCGAGGCACCCACGGTGAATGTTATCCTCCCGGTGATTGCCGAGATTGGGAAGTCTCGCCCAATCAACATGCAGCCATTGCTCATCTGAGTCACGCTTGGCTTCGCCACTATGAGCTGGTCGCTCTGAGCGGTGGTCCAAAGATGTGAGCGGCATTGGATTTTACGGTCAAGTTCATACACATAGGTTGCTATGTATTTGGAAAACCTATTACAGTAGCCACGAGGTTTGTGCGTGGCCGACATATGCACGTGGCCAGCACAGTCATAGCTTTCGTCACGTGTTTCTCCAAATCCCAACTCATCGGCTTGGCAGCCAGCATGGCTAGAGACGGCGATGCTGCTTCTCACGGATTCTGATTGCTTGCTCCTCTACAGCCTTGATACTTGCCATAGCGTTTTATTCGTTGTTATCAGTGGTTGACCTCATGAGGCGGCGCACCACGTTCCTGACAGCAAAACGCTCAAATGCTGTGGCGGAACGATCAGCCGACAACAAGATCGACGCCACAAGCCTAATAGCTGGGACCTTTCCAAGCATGCCTATCGTACCGCCCTCCTGCTCGTCAACTACCTAACTTTCCAATTGTAGCGTTATCGAATGCAAACTTGGGTTTTGAAGAATACCTGGCTTTGGAGGATAAGGGACAGTCTTTTGCAGGTAGGGATCTTCATGCGGGTTTGTCCGCACGAGCCCCTCGGCGTTGAACGGTCGTACGAGCAAACCTCTCATCCTCTGCGACCCTTTCGGGTTACTCGCACGAGCTTAAGCATCAAGCACTGTAAGCATTTGCTTAAAACTCAAGCCGTGCTGCCGAGAATCCAACGACTGGTCTCTCTAATTGGCTCCCTCACCTTTCCCATTCGGTTTGCCGAGAGGGGAGCGCGAGATAGCCAACGATATCTTTTCCTCCATTGACTAAGAGGGACCCAATGTCAAGCTGCCTCTCCTTCTCCGGTCCCTGCCCATCCGCAGTGTGGATCAGAGAGGGGTAGAAAGGTTTGCCAGAATTTCTGATAAGGGAGCAGTTAGTGAAATTCTTTTACTGTGTATATCTGTTACATGACTGTGTAAGTCTCTTTCTTATCTGACTTCGCTCCTCTATTGCGGCCAGGTCATATATACATCTACAGGACACCAAGTACCCCGCTTGGTGCTTCATACAGTCCATCAACAAGACTTGTAGGGTTCTTTGGTCGCCATGTATTGCACCGCACTTCCTATCTTGGCCATTTTGGCCACATCTGCAGCTGCAGAGACTGTGCTGGGGGTTTATATCTTCTCCCGCCATGGCGACCGCACTCCAAAAGCATTGCCGCCTGCAAGCCTGACCGACCTTGGTTACTCAGAGGTGTTCACCTCTGGGACGTATTACAGAAATCGTTATGTCACGGCTAACGCTTCCCGTCCGATCCATGGTCTAAACACAGACATCGTCCAACAATCTCAAGTTTCTGCATCTGCACCGGTTGATAATGTGCTGCAGAATTCTGCCATGGGCTTCTTGCAAGGTCTCTATCCTCCTGTTGGAACAACCCTAGGTTCCAGCACTCTCCGCAATGGCACAACCGTAGAGTCTCCCCTTAACGGATATCAACTCATTCCATTGGAGCTGGTGACCACTGGAGCCAACAGCGAGAACTCAGCCTGGCTACAAGGCGCAACGGACTGTGCGAATGCTCAGATCTCCTCAAACAACTACTTCACATCCTCTCAATATCTCGACACATTGGCGGGCACCCAGGACTTCTATAATGGCCTCTCGCCGATGATCAACCGCACTTTTACTGCTGCACAGACCAGCTTCAAAAACGCATATACCATCTTCGATTTGCTCAACGTCGCATCCATCCACAACTCAAGCGGCAACTTTCCAAACGCTGACCTCCTTACGCCCGAGACCTTTTTGCAGGTACGGACGCTGGCAGATCAACATGAATTTGGTCTTGCGTACAATGAGTCCGAGCCCATTCGTGCGGTCACGGGATCCATCATCGCGGGTGAAGTCATGGATGCTCTGAACAATACCATCACTGGAAAAGGCAAGAACAAATTGAATATTCAATTTGGTGCGTACGCCGGCATGTTGTCCTTCTTTGGGCTCGCAAAATTGACATTAGCCGATGCGGATTTCTACGGGGTGCCGGATTATGCATCCAGCTTGTCGTGGGAATTGGTCACCAATGCAACCGTGAACGCAACTTCCTTCCCAAGTGCAGATGATATTAGTGTGCGATTCTACTTCCACAATGGGACCACCAGTGAGAGCTCGGAGCCACGTGAGTTCCCACTTTTTGGAACTGGTCGCAGCCCACTGTCATGGAGTGAGTTTACTGGTGGCATGGCCAAGTTCAGCATTTCTGGTCAGGAGCAATGGTGCACAGCTTGCGGCAACAGCACCGGAGTCTGCTCATCTAGTGCTCTCGGAGACGGAGACGCGAATGTTGGCTCGACCTCCAACAATAACGGGAGTGGCGGGATTTCCAAGGCTGTCGCAGGAGTCATTGGAGCTATGGTTACCCTGGGTGTCGTCCTTGGTGCCGAACTACTCATTCTGTTGGTCGGAGGGTTCACTCTCGTGAGCAAGAAGAAGTTAAACAGAACGTCCAGTACCGAGAGTGCTCCAGCTGGTATGGGTAGCGCAAATGTCGGAGCTAAGGTGTAAGGTGTGGCGTCCTGTTGACGGCTTTCAGAAAGTGGTGTCTTTGCAGTAGTTTTCTGATTTGATATTGATGGCAGAACACAACTGCTAGCGCTGGTGATGGCGAACCACGTGAGCAACTATACAACAGCTATGGTTTAAGCAGATAGTTGAAGTGAATAAGTCATGAATTACCCCCGGTTGGAATTCCATTGAAGCTCCAACGTGACACAAACGCACTTGTACTCCACCGAAGTTTATCCTGGCGCACTCCCAGCCAGAACCTTTCACATTTCCACATAGGTCCTAGAGATTGAAAGTCGATGAGTTGTTTTGACGATATTGTGTTCAATCTGCCTCCGCTATTTCTAAGCCTGCGCCCCGCGAACCAGCATCCTCACAACTACATAGCTGCCGCGTCCGCTCACAATGCCATCTAACACGCCAGATACAGCACGAGCGCTGTTGCGATTACTCCGTCCACGCCCCGTTTGCGAATGCCTCTATGCTCGTCCCCTGCGACGCAAGAATCCACGGTCCTCTCGTAATGTCTCGACTGCGTCCCCTCAGCTCTCCGAGATGGAGGTAGAGCCCGAACCATCGCCACGCTGGTCGCATACGCCGCCTGCGATGAAGGCGCCCTTCTCTGCGAGACTAAAAAGCGACAATGTCCGTCCGCTGAAGATCAATTCTGATCCGCGGAAGCTCGACCAAGTATACGTTAGCTTCTTGGGACAAGATGGAGACAAGTTACTCTCGGATGAGACGAAATGGCTTGCTGTCACCGCGAAAAGTTATGACCACGGCCGCCGTGGGTTTAATGATCGTTTGGCTTTTTTCGGTCTGCCCTGCCCTGTCCCGTGATGTTTTGAGCGAAGCACAAGGGAAGAATGACACTCGCTGATACCATTTTCATTTACAGGGAAACGAATACTCGAACTACAGTGCTCGCTCGGGCTACTAAGCGTCAGTAACACGTCGTCACAGTTCTTTAAGAATGATCCACACGGCCTCGGCCGAATACCATATTCAAATCCGGCCACTGACGGGGTGGAAGTTCTCGCTGGCGGTGCCAGGAACTGGTTCGCACATCACAAAAACATTTCCAAGATAGCCATCCAATACGGTTTCCACGAAGTAGTACGGTGGGTTCCTAGGCTGGTAAGTTGGAGGTGATCCGTTCGCTGTGCCTTTTCACGAGATGCTAATTCAGTCATAGCCGGACAATCTGGAGTCATCTGGCTCAGACCTGGTGTATTCACAAGCGCTACTGGCAGTGATTGGGGCTCTAGCACTAGAGCAGGGCAGTGCGGTTGCCAATCGAGCGGCAAAAGAGAGGATATTGATTCCTATGGGACTGAGAGTAAACATGGATAAGAAGGTGGACCAAATACGAGAGACTTGAATTGAACTTCAGGCTTCGAATCGGGGCTTTCACTTCCGTGTATTGGAAAAGGGAATTTTTCTAATTGTACAAAATATTTACAAGGAGATGTATGGGTCCTCTGACACCGCCTGAGCAACAGTTGCTCTCTTGGAAAAGAATCCGAGAAGCACAAATACTCAGCCAGCTCTTATGGCACCGGCATATGGATTGGTCTCCGCGTCTCTAAATCGCAAAGTCTGGCAACTGATGAGAACCGTAGAATTGTAACAAGATGTCACCTTTCCAGGTCATAAATGCTGCATTGCACTGTCTTTTGGGCGCGTGGATAGAGAGGAGAAAAGACTCGAAAAAGTCTCTTGCAGGCAGTCTTTTATTTCGGTTCTCCGAAAAAGATTGTTCTTGGCGTCTGCCAATGTCCACCCCACGTGAGGACAGGGCGGCCTTATCCCTGTCCCGATGCGGGATAATATCAGGGCCGTTTTAAATAGCATTTGCCTCCAGAATCGCATTGCACACACCCCTTGCTCTACAGTTATTAGTATAGCATTGAGTGCGTTAATGCGCGACGCACATGACACGATGTTACAGACAAAACTGCGTACTTGCTGTAGCTGCTCCGCTCTGCTGTCAACCTCGTGCGGTATTTTGTAGGGAGTAGTCCATGTGGTTTCCAACACTAGCCTTGTCCAAACGCCGTTTCCTCCAACCCATCCCTCTGTTCTTGATACAACATACAGCTACTGCGCCGAAGCCACCACTCCATAGGCCCAATACAGTGAAGAACCAGCCCCTCCCTGCAGCATCGAGCAATGGCTGCAGGGCCGCAACACCCGTAGCCGCCATGGCGCACCTTGTGATACTGGCTGCTGCCGCCGCCGTGCTTGGACTCTCTGGAAACACGTCAACCAGCAGGGTATTATAGACCGTGTAGAAGCAAGTCCCCCAGAAACCCTGCATGAACTGCAGAATCAGGAGTACTGACACATGGACTTGGTAGTGCACAGCCCATCCGTATCCAATAAGCCCAAGCGTGGAAACGAGTAATAGCCAGTCGCTGCCGCGGGCTCGTGCTCGTTCGATCGGAAAGTCTTTCAAGTTGTCGCCGGATACGCTGTCAATGGTCCAATTAATCTTCCTTGCTGTAGATTTGTAGTTGTAGTCCATGACTTTGCCGATACAGTAGCCTCCAATAATGATGCCAATGCCACGGGGCAGGTATGCCAGTCCAATTTGGAATTCATTAAAATGGTACATCTGGCTGTAGATGTCGGGGATCGCAGCGACCAGCGAGTAATCGACGGTATAGAACGATCCGTGCATCCAAAGCACCAAAAAAGTGTCCAAGTGGAAAATGATACGCAAGCACGCCAGTGGATTGCCCACCTGGAATTTCCAGGAATTTCCAGCGTCACTTGGTTGATGTTGCTCGTTCTTACCACTTTGAGAGGATATGATTTCTCGATCTCTCTTGAGGAACAGACTAGCAAGCTTAAGCCAGGTCCAATTCCACCAAGGCAGAGTCACTCGTCCTTCACCGTTGCCCACCAAAGGCCTCGCCGTCTCTGGCAGGAAAGTCCCCACAAGGACCAACAGTAAACCACCAACAATGACCAGCGCCCAGAAGACCCACTCGAAACTTCCGCTGGAGTATGCGACCCAGCCACCAACGACAGGACCAATACAAGCACCCAAGTTCAAAGCCATGCTGACGGGGCCCAGCATCCTGCCTCTCTCGCTCGGCACGCACACATCAGCCACCACGCCAAATGAAATTGCATATGCCGCGCTTGCACCGAGACTCTGTATTGCTCGAAGCGCTATGAGAGCGCCATAGTTCTCAGTATTCAGCGCGAGACCCAAGTTTGCAGCCATGTAAAGTGTCAGAGTAAGTAGACACGCTGGTCTTCGGCCCATTGAGTCAGACAATGGTCCAAATATCGCTGGCGATATCGCTTGAAACACAATGTATATTGTGAGTGTTAAGTTGATAGCCTGTGCCGTCGTGTGGAAGTGCTCTCTCAGAAGGGGGAGAAGAGGGAAGTAGATTGTAGCAGTCAGCGGCGAGGTGATGGTGGCGAATCCGAGCAAGGCTATAAGGAGGCGCTTCTGCGGCTGTGTGAACAGTGTATACGGGCTTGAAACTTCCTCCAGGGCCTGATTTACACCGCCTTTATTAGTGTTTTGAATCTCCATGATTTCATCCATTGTGTGGTTTGTTGCTTAATGTACTGTGACTAACACAGCACTGGGCTGAAGGATACATCAGGTTTGCAAACATGAGATGAGAGGAAATCGGTCAATCAGGAAGGACTATGGCGGCATGTTAATATGCCGCAAAACTGACATAGACAGGTGTTCAGTCATATCGGATAGCTAGATGGAAATGGCTGAAAGGTAGGTGTTATACAGTCTGAAAAGTGGGGCCCCCCTAACGCGGGGTATACTCAATTGATAAACACTCTCACGAGACTTATCCGGCGGGGTTTATTTTGCTGAGGAGTAATATCATGATTTGTGGAGATCATTTGGGCTAATCTGCTCTCAACCTGTCCATGGAAGCAGGGGAGTACATTAATGACCAATAACGTCGAAGTTCGTCTTGACTGTCACAATATTCCCCTCTTGAGGGCAGAGGAACACTCCATCTTTTAGCATTGAGCACTGTTTCAAACCTTCGACGTCTGTCCAATCCCTTGGAATGAAGTAGTGGCGCACTAAAGGGCAGGATTTTGAGAGCCGTGTCAACTTCATCGAGCATACCCAAAGATCTCGATCTAGAAAGACCAGCCGCCCGCCTGACAAGACGCCCAATGTGAACTCACATCCTTGAGTCAGCTCATCCGCAAGCTGTAAACAGTCCAGCTCACAACTTCTTGCGAAACCCTTCGGTATCTCCAGTGCCGTGGCTGGTACGGCGAAGAGCCGATTTTGCATTCTGCTCCGCAGGGCATGCTCCTTGATATGAACCAGTATGTGCTTTTCATCTTGAGTGAGCATTGCCCTCATTATATATCTCGTAGGTTTTGCTTCCGACGGCGTCATCATGTCCCGCACACTCTTGGGTGGCTTGATATCTGAGAATGTCGAGCTCTGCCTTATCAGAGGGAATTTCTCAGTGTTGAATTTGAACTCGAAGATCTGATGTAAACCTTCCCATTGATGTACATGTATATTTTCGGGACCGACGCCCATGAACAGCTTGTTATCCCCTGCATGGTTCAACCAATTGCGTTGATCGGCATCGATTATTTGAACAGAATCCTTCAACCTGCCCTCATCGATGTCCCATGTCTGTGCGAGGTCACTGGTGACAACAAGAAGGAGACGTGAAGAGAAATCAAGCAGCAATTGATGTATAGCACGACCTTCCAAATCGAATCTGGGTGTTTGTGACTGCTCGACAACGGCAGATTCGAGTTGTCCATGACCCCAATGACTCAGCCTCAGAATACATATGTCAGCAGCAAGGTCGGCAACAGCAATGATACTACTAGTGGAATCCCAAGTGAGGTGAGTGACAGGTTGAAAATTGTTAAACCGTGTCAGTTCACTTCTCGACGATGTCTTCATATCGGTAATATGCACCTCGCCATCTTCGTTGCCGGTTGCGTAGTAAAGTCCGTTTGGAGCTGCGGCCAGGATAGATAAAGCTGTGTACTGTCGAGCGTCTGCCTCGGATACATGGGATATCACAGTCCCGCGTTGATCGTCGCTAGAGGTATCACTGAATGAGTCTTCTGCTTCCACAAGTCGGACCAAGCCATTAGGCTCCCACGCATTGATTGTTGCACCACGAATGTCATAAAAGCGTGCAGAATCGGGGCTGAAGGATAATCCACTGACAAGATCCCCTGAAGAAAGTTGATATATGGCGGCAAAGAATGCAAAATTCCAGACCTTGACAGTACCGTTGGAGTCACTGGTTACAAAGACCTTGCCGTTAGGACTCACGACAAGCTCATCGACTGAAGCGGACACTTCGTGAGTCTCATTTGTTATGGGATGCCATTTAAAAAGAGTTTTCCCCTTGTACCAGCCGACAATATGGCCGCTGATAGGATTCCATGCGAAAAGCTCTACAGGAAACCACATCTGCGGAGAATCAAGATTCGTGCCTGGCCTCATGCACCGACTCACAACAGACGCGCTGTCCAGGTCCCAGATTGTGAGAGGAAATGATCTGTAGCAGACGCCGATTTGCGTACCACCCGGGTTGATTGCCATGTAACTCGGACTGTTGATAATCGTTGTCTGAGACTGAGACTCTTCTTTGAGCAAAGCAGGATTTATAATCCTCCAACTAGCTTCATCATCTGTCAGCTGTAGAATTCGCACCGATCTATCGTCCGTTGCAGCAATAACGCGCTGGTCATTCATCGCAAATGCAACAGACAGTGCTCTGCCATTCGCTTGATTTGCCACTTGTAGGCGAATTATCCCTTCGGGAAGATCCCATACCTTTGTCGTTGTCAGGCCGTAGGTTACAAGAATGTTGCCTTTGAGGTTCATACACATATTAGTTACAGCTTCACCGTGACGGAGCGTGCAGACTTCTCCAAAATCAACAGAGCTCCAAACGTAGACCTTTCCACCATGACTTAGTACTGCTAGATGGATTCCAAGTGAGATGATCTTTATGGCAACCTCATGTTGAGGCAGGGAGTTACGCGCAAATATGTCACTCCACGAGTCACTTTGACCGGTCAAGACAACTTTTGAGGTTCGAAATTGTCGATTGATTGTAGAGGTGGATGGACACAAGGCTGGAATTGTCTCATAGATAGCGTATGGCTGGGTGATCAATTGCTTGTTGAACTTCGCTGTTAGTCTCACTAGATCCCCTGCCCAATTCTCCAGGAGCTCAACCGTGGACAGGCGATGAAGCAACGGATTCCGAGAGTTGTTGAGCTTTCGATTAGCGGCAATAAAGGACAGTAACCCTTTTCCGGCTCTGGCTAGAGTCCTTACTTGGTTTAGAATAGCGACGACAAAGATCCAATCGAGTACACAGGGGCTATTGAAGAATCCTTCCAGCGCGTCGAGAACCCGGTCGGAGAGCGGATCGGCATGGCCAAGGTGATAGATCCAAGAGTTGGTGCCATATAGGACAAATGGCTGCTCAGTTTCCAGTTCCTTTCGAACCTGCTTCTGTCCCTTCGAACCAAGTGCAGTCTTGCGTATGTCCAACTGCCTCAGACTGGAAAGAGTTTTCACCAAAAGCGCACTGTTCGCGTTTTGACGATGAATCGCGACAGCACTTTTCGACCGCTTAGTCAAAAAGTCTCGTGCAGTCTGATGCACCGTAGTGACATGATCTGTGCTGTCGATAACCACAAATTGTCCACAGACCTCACGAATAGTCCTTCCTAGATCCAGAATGTCGTCATAGTCTTTCCCTATGGCTTGGATCAATTCAACTGTCTTCAGAGGTTGTGGCACACAAACGGCCCACTGCAAGAGCTCCTTTGCCAATCCAAGCCGTCCGTCACTTGTGCCCTTGATGATAGAAAGCTCCATTCGTTCGTACATTCTTGTTATATCTTCGGGCATTTGTTCCAATGCGGTTGTTGTTTCTCTCTCTGTTTGACACATTTGAAGCTCTTCAATTACTAGGCTGACCCAGAGAAAATTACCTCTCGCGCGTTGGAGAATTTCGCGTTGAAGTCGTGATTTTAAAGACGGACCTCCCGGAATGAGATCAAGCTCTCTGGCAACTAAAAGCTCAATATCTTGTGCATTGTGCATTTGGCCACCTGCATCAATCATGTCAACTCGAAGTTGTCGCTGAAGCTTCTTGAACCTCAATGCTAATGCCTCCGAGTGTCGACCCGTAACAAGAACTTTCATAGTGGCTCTTGATCTTAGGATCAATTCTTCAAGCAACTCAATGACTGCATCTGGCGACTCTGATTCATCGAGGCCATCTATTACCCAATATACGGGGCGCTTAAAATCTTTGTCGAAGAAGAGAGTCTGGAATAATCTCTGCCAAAGTAGGCGATAGTCACTTTTGTTCAGATAATTGTCCTCGGATAAAGTTGCGATGACTTCTGCAGCAAACTCGGGCACTTCGCAAGAGATTTGATATGCCAAAGACTTTAACAATCCAACAATGGATCGGCGCGTCTGATCACGATAATCGAAGAAGTAGAATTGGCAATCATACCCATTCGTCTGAAGGTGGTAGAAAATGTAGCTTGAGAGGACTGATTTGCCACTTGCAGGAGGTGCAGTGTACCAAACAAGTTGTGATCTGGACTGATCTGTCATCCAGGTCTGAATTGAGGCATCTTTCAATATCCACTCGCAACTACCGGAGACCCAGCGCTTACGGAGCGGTTTCAAGTCATCGGCGGGCATTCGGGAGATGTCCAGAGCCTTTCTGACTTCCTCAGCCAATTTTGATGTCGATGTACTAGGCGTTCGGTGAATGGACCTGCTAAACTTGTCTACAAGACCTCTGAGCACATCGCGAACAATAATGTAGCTTGGGTCTTCGTCATTTTCGAACTTGCAGACAGTGTGATGGTCTGCTGGAAGTCCTCGCGATTCTTCATTTTCATAGCCGAGAAGGGCAGAGTCTTTGGTAACGATCATTTTATAACTGCCTGCTATCGAAGTAGCATAGGTTTCATGGAAGGAGATTATTGAAAGTTTCCAGGCAATATGACGGAACTGCTCATTGATATCCTCGATCGCCGATGACTGCGGCGCCAATTCTTTTAGAAATTGTCGAGCAGGCTGAAAAATTAGCGTGAGAATTAAGTCCAGCGTGTTCGCCAGGTCTGAGCCACGATGAGGGGTTGAAAAGAAAATAACTGCCGCCATTGATTTTACTAGTGTCTTGCAGTGTTCGTCATCCTGGGCCAAAATGAAAGCCTTTTTTACAACGAGTCCACCCATAGAGTGAGCGACGAAGATGATAGGTGCTTCACCGAGTCTGAGGTTATAGTCACCGTTGCATTTTTTATGCCGCATATCAAATAGGAGCGCCTTCGCGAAGTCTGTGATATTTGCGACGCTCTTCAAACCAAGAACTTGAGAGTCATAGCCGTAGGTGAACAGTCGTGCTCTAGCAAGCTTGGGGTCTTTTGGGAGCCATAGCTGCGGCCAAAAGAAATCGGGGTCATGGTTGTGCGACCATGTTTTAGTACTGTGGCCTCCAAGGCCGTGTACGAAGATGATATTTGCGATTGGTCTCGAGGAGGGTCCATGTATGCAATCAAGTCCGAGTCTGTTGGGCGCATTGTTTGCAGGTCCACCTGTCTCGCCTTTCACAGTCGGCGTCAAGTCTGCATTGGAAGCACGATGCACTGAAAGGGTGGCAACGGAGCCGGAGCTTTTCCTTCGCACCCAGTCCAACGCGGACCCGGATGATGACTTCCTTTCGGTCAAGCCTGGGGGTGCTGACGGCTTGCTCTGCTGCGCCTTGTCTCGATGAGAGAAGCTGGAGCGTAATTTCCCAAGCTACAATGTGTGTAAGCACCCAAATTGTGGGAGTTAACATCGAATCGTACCATTGATGCAATTTGCGACGGCGGGGGTTGTGTCGCCGTAGCAGATTCGATATTGGGACTAGATGTTCAATTCAATATGAATGATGTCCCACAGCATTGCGGTCTGTCGTGACTGGGAGAATCGGACCTAAGAATTAGGCTAGTAATGAAGGACAAGTGATCATGAAAAATATAGAGTCACGGCTTCCACCCGACTATGTTCGGTCTGTACTGGAGTTAAGTCGCTGCTTGAGATGCACGAGGCTATGCGAGCGCAGTCGTAGGTTGAGATGGAATATGTCTCTGCGGGAATCAAGCATAAGCCTGATCCAGACTAGAACATGGCTACGCATACTCCAAATCGGAGAGATCAGAAGAAAGGAGAGCGCGGCACTAACCGTCTTGAATTGCGACATCCCACATTAACCCGGCGCAGTTCCTAACTCCATGCTAATCGAAGCGCCCCAAAAGGATCCCTGCAGTAAAAAGCCCTTGTGCACCAGCAAGGGCAATCGACTTATCAGCACAAGGCCAGGCAGTCATCGGCGCAACTGGCCCCAATGGGTGCTCGAAGGAGAACCATCTAGTCAGGGACATCTCTCCGCTTCTTTGATCATTGTCAAACGCGAGCTGCCCGGGACAATTCGTGCTGTGGGTCTCGAACCCATCGTGTCCTTTTGGTCGAAGTGTGCTATGAGAGAAAACAGGCACGATGCAGCCAGTTCAAAGATACTCAACCCAGGGCTTGCATTAGTCTGTCTCGAACGTTGCAAGTGGAATGATGAGAGGAGTCGAGGAGAAGAAGGGGTTCAACCCACGTCAAATCAAAGCCGGCAAACAAAGTTCCGGGGCAGCATTTTGCTTCATCCCCCGGCGGCAAGCGGCCGTGCTTGGCATCGGCAGCCAATCACGCCATGCATCTAACATTATGAGGCGGCGGCTGTGCTGGTGTATGGAGTATGGATCCTGTTACACACTATGAGCCTGCCCTAACAACCAACAGCAGGCGTCAAATTTACGGAGTGCCATATTTCTAGTGGATGCGACTAATCAGTGCAGCAAGGATTGGGTCAATCCAGTTTCCTCAACTTGTGACCTCGGTCGCTGTAAGCAATGCTAGGCCAAAGAGGACTCAATGAATTTACAGGGAGCATCTTGCTTCCTCCAGATTATCTGAGGCTTTCCATCATTCGATTACATAGGTGGATTTCATAAGGCTGGAGTTGTCGCTTTTCCGATCTGGAAAGCCGTGTTGTTCTATCTCCCTGTACAGTCTTCAGTATCTGATCTCTCCCTTCTTAATATCAAACAGGGCTACTTGACCGATCAGTATGAGCGAAACTGCTGTGCATACCCTCCTGACCCATGACAAGCCGAAGTTTTCCAATATTGCAGGCGACTTTCCCCTCGATGACAATGTCATCAAACAGTTTCCTGAGGGTACGAAGGTTCTATGCGCCAACAAGTTTGGACAATCAAAATGGACACTTACAGCACGTCTAGACGTTGAAGACGTCAATGGAATCCCGGCCTCCTACTTCCTGAAATGCGCTGCCGAAGATGCCGGCCGCGTCATGATGGAAGGGGAATTCAACGGCATGTCGGAACTCCACAAGACAATGCCTGAGCTCGTCCCAGAACCATATGGCTGGGGAAAGTTCTCAGTCACCGCTCCAGAAACGTATTTCTTCTTATCAAAGTTTATCGATATGTCTGACCGTGCACCGGAGCCCAATCAGCTGTGCTCCAAACTCGCAAAACTGCATAGAATTAGTGACTCTCCAACCGGCAAGTTTGGCTTTCATATCACAACATGCCAGGGTCGAAGACCACAGGCCGTGGCATGGGAGAGCAACTGGACGATCTATTTCGGAAACCTTCTCCGCCATGTCATCGCCATGGATGATGTAGAGAATGGACCTTGGGCTGCCTTAACGAAGCTTGAGGATCGGATCCTGTCACACGTGGTGCCATACCTCCTTGATAATCTCACCAAGGATGGCCGAGTCCTCAAACCATGCTTGATTCACGGGGATCTTTGGGAAGGCAATACCGGAACATCCTACTCCACAGGAGACATCTACCTCTTTGACGCGGCGGTAATGTATGCACACAATGAGTTCGAAATCGGTGATTGGCGGTGCGACTACAATAAGATTCACAACAAGAGCTACACAAGAGCATATCTCCGCCACTACGGGCCCAGTGAACCGAGAGAAGAATGGGATGATCGGAATCGCTTATACTGTATATACTATAATGTTTTGTACTCAGTAAATCACCTGAGTCAGGGGAAGGCTGTGAGGCAAAGGTAAGTGTGTGCTGTTTGTGAATATGCACCTTGCTCGCAAACCTCTGGTCTACGCGGGTATAAGATGGAGCCTTATTGGCACAAGCTGACTTGTACCATAGAGCCTTCGACGACATGTATTATCTAATTGATAAGTTTGCCCCATTTCCCGCAGGCGAAGGTCCTCCGCGGATTGTTGAGTCAGAAAGGGCAGAACTACCTGAAGGCGGGGACCATACCAAAACTTGATATTGTGCAAGGATGTTCACGTTACCGCTCACACTTCTGCACTTCCTTCTGTTCATCTTTACTTTCCTCACGAGTTTTTCTAACAGTCGAATCTCCGTCGCATCCTTCCAAGTGGTCACGAACCTTGCCCTCATCTCTGGTGATATTGATCGCTATCTTAAGTTGAGCAGTTTCTGAGAGCCAGCACTGGAAAGTCTTGCCACCGACTCTGGCACTGCGGATGACTATTAGGGTTTATCTTTTCCACCCCTTTGGGCAAAAACATGGAACTCCTCATCAGTGATGGTCAAACCTTAATAGCATAGGGGTATTGAAGCAAACGTCGTGAGAGGACGGTAGCCTGCGGATCACGATTGACGGCCCCTTTCTATCCTCAATTATAAATTTACGCCGAAACAGGCCTATAGCTTTGACTTAGAGGTGCTGCTTTCTCGAAATTCATGCTGTCTTCATGGGATAGGGAGTAGATTTCTCAGAGAGTCTTGCACCAACCCCTCTCAACTCTGTCGAACTACTCATGTCTAAGAGAGTTACAGGGTAGCATGATATTAGTCCTGGTAAGGAATTATTTGGGGCCGCTTTTAGTTTCTTGGCATCTGATAGTCCCCAGGTGTCCCTCATCTCAGGAACAGGTCAAGGGATCTACTACGCGGAAATGCGACAGCGGTATGAACATTATTCCTGCGTCTGCATGTTCATGATGATAAACCCTTGATTCTCCCTGTGACGTCCATCAACAACCGCATCCTCGACCTAACCGAACACTTGCACAATTCGCAACCATGGCCTCGGCACTCTTCTTCCTCGACTTGAAGGGCAAGGTAAGCAACCAAGGAGGCAATGTGATGGCTAGTCCAGGAGTACTGATCTTTGCAGACCCTTCTTGCCCGGAACTATCGAGGAGACATTCCCATGTCCGCTGTAGAAAAGTTCCCTATCCTACTCTCAGAAGCCGAAGAAGAATCGTCGGCCGTTCCCCCTTGCTTTTCCGACGAAGGCATCAATGTTCGTGCGAGTCATGTGCTAAACTTTGCCTGAAATCTAACCCTTCTATAGTACCTCTATATTCGGCACAACAACTTGTATCTCCTTGCATTGACAAAGCGAAACACGAATGCCGCAGAAATCCTCCTTTTCCTTCACAAGATCGTCGAAGTCTTTACCGAGTATTTCAAAGAGTTGGAAGAAGAGTCGATACGAGACAACTTCGTCATTATATACGAGCTGCTAGATGAGATGATGGACTTTGGATATCCCCAAACCACCGAATCCAAGATTTTACAAGAGTATATCACGCAGGAGTCACACAAACTCGAAGTTCAAGCTCGTCCACCCATTGCCGTCACAAACGCGGTGTCGTGGCGGAGCGAAGGGATTCGATACCGGAAGAACGAAGTCTTCCTGGACGTCATAGAGTCACTTAATCTGCTAGTGTCTTCGACAGGCAACGTGCTAAGATCAGAAATTCTCGGAGCCATCAAGATGAAATGCTATCTTTCTGGCATGCCGGAACTTCGACTCGGCCTCAACGACAAAGCCATGTTCGAGACTACGGGACGGGCTACTCGAGGGAAAGCAGTGGAGATGGAAGATGTTAAATTCCACCAGTGTGTCAGGCTGTCGCGGTTCGAGAACGACCGAACCATCAGCTTCATTCCACCCGACGGAGAGTTTGAACTCATGAGCTATCGCCTGAACACAGCGGTCAAGCCACTGATATGGGTCGAGGCAGTGGTGGAGTCTCATTCTGGATCCAGGATGGAATATATGCTCAAGGCGAGAGCACAATTCAAGCGAAGGTCAACTGCCAATAATGTCGAAATCACCATACCCGTGCCGGAAGATGCAGACACTCCACGATTCAGAACTAACGTCGGATCCGTGCATTACGCCCCTGAGAAGTCGGCGATCGTGTGGAAAATCAAGCAGTTTGGTGGAAGCAAAGAATTCCTCATGCGCGCAGAGCTTGGCTTACCTAGCGTCAAAGGTGATGATGAGCGTGGTGGAGGTATGACTGGCGGCTTTGGCGGCAGTATGGGCGGTATCTCTGGTGAAGGCAAAGCAAAACGACCCATCAACGTCAAATTCGAGATTCCCTATTTCACGACCAGTGGTATCCAGGTCAGATACCTGAAGATCATAGAGCCAAAGGTTTGTTGGATCCTATTCCAGATTCAATTCAAGTTCGTTCACTGACTCTCCACAGCTGCAATACCCCTCCTTGCCCTGGGTCCGATATATCACACAATCAGGCGATATCGCAGTCAGATTGCCCGATGTACAGAACTAAAAACCTTTACGTGCTCAAGATTGATTTACGAAAAGAAGCCTTCACCCACCCTTACCTCGAATGAGTATCTGCCTCAATCACTGTGTAGCTTTTTTTTGAGTACCACACAGCGACAGCAACAATTGGCGAAACAAATTAGGTTCACCTAGACCAGACCGAGCGAAGCTCTGAAGGGATTGCTTAAAAAGACTGTTTGGAGTGGTACCCGTTCCTCAGGTCGAAGATGAGCTTGCAGAGGCCCAGGCGTCTTCACGTCACCGCAACTAAGACAGGGCAAAGGGCTACCATCTCTCGAGACTTGGACGCCTCGAGCCATTCCCAGGCCCCCATATCAAGCTAGAACATTGCAGGAAGAGTCAGAAGGGTGAATGATGCAAATGAACCTATACTTGACCATGTCGGCACTTTGAGAACAAGGAGAGGTACAATTTATATACCCAAATGCAGCCTCAGTCGTCCATATCTACGCAAGCTCTTCTCGCTACCTATCAAATGACATGTTCTACGTGTATTTTCACGGCCGTCGAGGCCATTGAGTGTCATGACGGCACAACCGCCGACGAAATTCACAATGGCACCATCCCTGCATATTAGATGGTCTGACCACATGGGGCATGCAAGATTTGATCTGCAATTAATGTGCGGCCTGGGGACTCTGAGAGTTCGAATATGCAGGTTCCCCGAGAGAAACGTCAGCGGAAGCAAGGTATCATGACAGGGCGCGATGTTGTTTCCCTGCGCTCCTCCCACTTAAGTCTGAAATCCAGTAACTTGAATACTAACATGTTTGTTTCACCAAGGAGGTTCGGCCTGGCCTTGCATTGGCCAGTCGCCTCTCAGTCGAAGCCTGGTTTACGCAGCGCCGTCCCAACGGAAACTTAGACAAAGCTCCAAACAGAGCCATGGTGTGGTTAAGGCCTTGCCAGCTATATCAGAAGCTTGATCGTCGTTAAGTATACTTGGAGAACAAGGCTTTGCTCCGAAGCGAAACTACTCGATTTCACGATTTTCAGTTGCATGTTCTCCTACCATACTCGTTACCTTAGGCATACAGGTGTTTGATTAGAGGCTGAGAGAATGGGAATATCACCTTTGACGACCAAGTACTAGCTGAGCAAGCTTCCCTCAAATTCAGCCAAGTCAAATCACCTGAAGGCGACACGCGGCAGGTGCAGACCATCTATCTCCAGCATGTTTTGACCCTTGTAAAGGACTCGGCAGGACATTGAATTTGCCAGAGTGACACCAAATGAGCGGTACTTCTCGAAATCCGGAACAATCCTCCGCGACTTACCAGCCACTTGGTTGGCTCGAAGGGAAGTTCAAAGCCCTGTTATTCTTCCAGGCTGGTTTGGTTCAGTTATCACGATATGCGTCTGCGATCGGCGACTTTGTTGAGAGCGGTAGATTTGATCTGCGAGCACAACCAGTGGTTATTTCGGCGACTTGGCTTGACCAACCTTATGCTTCATTTCTCTGCTCCGTCTCTTTCTCTTCAGTCCTTTGGGTGGCTTGATTGCTGCTTGCCCACGGAAAAGAACGGATGAAGCTCGACGTTGATGTTACAATAGTGCAGATCCTGACCGCCAGCTCGCTTTGCAAAGTTGGACATCCAATTCTTCCGCATGTTGAAGGCTGATAATTCCTTCTCCATTTTTTTTAGCCGTGGCGACATTGAAACTTTGAAGCCGGCTGAAGTGGTGTATGTGTGCATATCGGTCGTAGCCCGACGGGACATAATCATTTGATCCCCCGTCAACCGAGCGCTCAGACCCCCTCCGACTGCGTTTATTCAGACCAACGGATCGTGATCCAGATCGGAGACTCACCGTTAGGCCTGGCGCCAGAGTAAATGAAAAGCGCTAAGCGAGTTGTTGCATAGAGTGGAAGCTGATGGTCTTGCGCATTTTCGCCACACCAGCGAACACTCTGTTGAGGAGCGGGTGTTGGTTCTCAAACCAGATACGGAGGCAGTCCGCCAAACCAATGTCGCAAGAGGCCCACCACGAACGATCGCTGATCAATCAACCCCTACAGGAAGTTGAGTCCCGCCTCGTCAGCCAAAGCAGGGTGAGGAAATAATTTTGAGGATTAAACCGAAGCTCGATAACGGTTATTACTTTCAGTGTTCAAGCACGGCACCATGCGAGACTTGTCTCTGACTCGACACGAAGTGTGCCATTAATGAAACCCTGGACGGGAAGAGGAAGGTTGCATTGAGATCGCAGACTTGAAGAAATCTCCTATTACAGGTGAATCTTGGAGGGTTTGTTAATTTGCCTCCGAAACTGTCGCGGACGGGCCATGGTTGCTATTCTCTAATCACTCCTCGATGATGCCTCAACGTCATCATTGGCGGCTGTAATCTGTTTTGCTTCAGCGAAAACAGATCTCGAGCTCACCAACCGCCTCGAGGCCTTCATGCGTATGTTTAACTCTCGGTTGCCACTTCACGACTGGGACATCAAGGAAGGTTCCCGTATCATTCCCTTCACACTAAGCCGTACTTTACGTCCATGTAGACTTTGGGAGTAGCGCCCGCTCCTAGTAACTTGGTATGAATGCCTCTTGGTTCTGCACTTCTATAACATTCCCATCTGGGTCCGCTGTATACAAGGTCGGTGTGTTGATCGGTATCAAAGATTCCGTGATCAGATCGATCTCTTCCGGACTAAGAAAGTCTCCAGCCTGATCAAAGCCCGTCCCGAGGGAGAACCAGCCGTTCAGCACGAAAACTTCGCCGGGGGCTTTCAGAATATTCGCGCCCATGGCCTTGAGCCTTTCATGCGTCACCGTCGAGTTGGGCACCACCATTCCAATATGAGATAAAGTATTAGGGACTCTGAGCCCGGACGGCAAGTCCCAGTTCGGGTATTTTAATTCGATGAGCTCGATGAGGCCTTCTCCGTTGTTTTTTTCGCGATTCATCTCTTCACTTGTCTGATAGCCGCTTCCGTTGCGACCACCATGCGCGTGACCAATGTAGGCAATAGCGAAGTTCTCGGACACGTGGAGATTGAAGAGCAGTCGGAAACCGAACGCTTCGCGATACCAGTTGATACTCTCGGTCATGTCGCGCACATTGATACTGATATGATTCATGAAATATGCTACTGTTGTAGGGTCGGAAGGTGCTTCGTCTCCAGGTTCAGCCCAGGGGTATTCTACCTCTTCTCCTTCGGCGCGCTTGGCATATTCGTGAGGAGTTGCACATGCCCAGGCTTGGGCCAGGCATTGCAATGTGACGAGTAGTGTTAAGAAGGTGAAATTCTTGTGTGGCATTTTGCTTTTGTGGCGGAATTGTTCTTGATGATTTGTTCGAATAATGAAAAGGAATTCAATAGTTTATTAATAGTTTATCGAGGTCGTATTGGCCCTCATTCACTGCTGCCGTCGTTTCCATATTCCTATAGCTATTATTTCACTAATGCCGTGTCTCAACTTCTGTGGAGCCTGTAAGCGGGTATAGGAGCTCAGCCTCATCGGTTGTATGAGGCCTCGTGCGCTTATAACAGTTATAGGCGCTCCCCCAACCCTATCCAAGAGAGCTCGATGTTACACAGGATGAATTAACATCCTGGTCGAACAGAGTGTAGGTGCAGACGGCGGAATAGGTCGAGACGATCTCACTATGTGACATCATCTTTATCACGGTTCCGCCGCTCGGAAGACGGATTCCACAAACCACCCGAGGTTGTGTTCGACGGTTTGTATCATTCTGCCCAATGAATCGGGCCTCTTTCCTCAACTATGACATACTAGGCGTGCCACAGTGTCAGCAAGATCTAGCTTCTAGAAGAAGGGATCGTGTACATCGGTCCCGAGTCTGAAAATTTGTGGCTGGGTATAAGGTGAATAGTGGAAATCCTAGCGGAGCGGGATTTGGGTATGTAGTCGAGTATACATTTTTAGTGACACTAAGTGCTTTTTACTAAGTAGAGAGGAGCATGGGGCATATCTCTCGGGACCGCTATGACCAATGATGCAGCTCGTGACCTTGAAGACGGAAAATGTCTTGCATGTTACGGCTGAAGATGGCCTTCCAGAGCCTAGGCGAGTAATTGACCGAAACTCAAGCATATAAATATCCTAAAGATACGTACTTATTGATTCGCCATGGAATCATCTAAGTAACCCTTCTTTCCGAAATTTCCACTTTCAGGTTTTGCATCCCTCCAACATGGTCGCACTATCAGGCCTTGTAATTTCCTCTTTTGCTTTGATAGCCCAGCGGCTTTCTCCAGCATCTGCACAACTGCTCCCTCCTGGCATGACAGTGGGTTCAGACGGGCCGGCAGATGAGGCAACTAGAGGTTACTGGGTGAATCATGTCGGCTTCAATGTTCGAAACCTCACCGAGAGCAAGAACTTCTACGGCAACGTTCTTGGCCTTCGTGAAATCTTCACGATCCAGTATACACCGAATTTCAGCATGACCTATCTGGGGTACCCGCAGGGCGGCCGGAATGGGTCCGGCTTTCAGTCTGGAGAGGAGATGCTGAGAGACAAGAATCAAATGGGCGGCCTAGTCAAACTGTTTTATTTCGCAGTCCCAGACAGGTTACCGGTCGCCTCCACAGAACGGACGAGCACATTCTCAAACATCGGCCTGATCGTGCCGGATATCCAAGCAACGCAGGATCGTCTGGAGAAACATGGTGCTAAGATAGTGAAGCGCCTTGGAGAAACAACGATCCCGCTCGATGGACCTATCGCCACCGCAATGAACGTTGGTCCAGCGTCGACGTCTAATATGACTGAAGGAGAAGCGCTAATTGAGGGCCTCCAAACCACTTCCTTCGAAAGAGTCCTGTTTGCGGAGGATCCAGATGGAAACTTGATAGAAATTTTGGCGCAGAATGGATTTTAGAGGAAATAAGTAGATTGGAAGAGCTATTTGCGCAACTGAAGAGCGATTGTTACCTATTCTCCTCATCGAAGCAACTGGCCACTCGAGAAACTAAAGCGAAGCTGCCTTATACATGTTGAAGGATGTACTGGCATGATTTTAGAAATTCGATTCTTGGAAAGGGAAACAATAACCTGCCCCCAAGGAAAAAGAATCCTTTTGGGATGTACGAGTGTGAAGATACCTGTGTAGTTCATACGCGAGATCGGGAGGTCATAACAACGCGCCAAGGCCCTAGTCCCTACTGAGTAGGTATGACGATGAATGGTAATTAATTAATATCAGCAATTTTAGATTCACTTTTGTCGGTAACATTCGTTTCCCACAGCACAGATATTTGATCCTAGAGACTGCGTCCCCCCGTAGACTTTCTTAGAATTACTGTCCTTAATCTAAGCCGAGAGAAATCGGGGCTAGTTGAAAATGCCTAACAACGCCCCACTCCCAACACCGACGCCAGAAGAGCTCGACGACCTGATTTACTTCTCCCGCGTCGGGGATCTCGAGTCGCTAAAAGCGTCTATCACGGAGCTCTGCTCGACACATCTCTGCGCACCGTCGGTGATTGTGGCGACGGCGATTGACATCGATGATGAGGGGCTTGGCTCCCAGTCCTCCCTTCTGCACTACCCGGCGGCGAATGGAAACCTCGAGATCGTCACGTACCTGCTGAGCCTGCTGGCGCCCTCGGAGTCCCTACACGGAAGCCCGAGTGGAACGACGGCTGATAAGAGCGCGCCGCAGCTGGTCAACCATCGTAATGTCAGTGGGAATACACCGTTGCATTGGGCTGGCGTCAACGGCCATCTGGAGGTGGTTAAGAAGCTGGTCCTGGCTGGTGCGGACCCGACTATCGTGAATGCTGCGGGCAGGGATGCCGTCGTCGAGAGCGAAGCTAGTGCTAAGGAGGGCGCTGCTGAATGTGCTGTGTGGCTGTTGAAGAACTGTGAGGACCTCGAAAAAGGTGTCGCTGGTGGGGATGGAGAACAAGAGCAAGAAGCAGAAGTGGGAGAAGGCCCAGACAAGGACGAGGGCACGGGAGCAGCAGATGATGTTTCTGATGCTGCTGCTGCTCGGAATGGTTCAAAACGAGGCTCAGAACAGACGTGATTTGTATCATGCGACAACTCTCGTTACACGATCTTTGGCCGAGATCGAATACTCCCCGACGTGAAATATGGAATCCACATCCAAGACGACCTGTCACCATATTCTATGCTGGAGCCTTTCCTCAACATATCTCACAAACATTCCTCTTGGCCACAGCCGCAATTTCAATAGCAAATGGCTGGTCCGATACTACGAGGCACGCTCTCCTAAAGGGAGACAATAACAGCCCTCGCCCTCTTTGCGAAGACAGGATGTCGTTGGGCATGTCTCTCCAGTCTCGGTATCGACAACACAATGCCGTTTGATACATACGCCGACCTCGCGCTATCCGCCCGCGCCACAAAACGTCAGCTTCGACCTGAGAGTAGGGAAGACGGAGATTCCAAAACGCGCAGGCACCTGTGTGATGATGGTTGATTACCTACCTTGCTCAACCGCTTGCCATCTCGGTTGGCGTGTGCATAGACGTCCACGGTGGTTGTCTGTAGCGGCAGCGGATTGCTCAGTGTCGTCTGCAGTGTGAGTGCCAATGCGGCCAGGACAGCGACGGGGTGCATGATGTTTGAGGGTGGGCGTCGATGATAGAAATGTACACAAGCACCTCGGCAGTCGGCGAGTGGAAGGAAAACCTGAAATGCCTTGATGAGAGCCAAAGACTTGGACGTAGTCCTTCACGCCAGCACAATACGCAGGAGTCTCTTCTGATATGACTACTTGCTTGCCTTTGCAGCAGCTTTACGACTATTTATATCTCACCTTTGGACTCTTGCTGATAACCACCAAGCCACGAGGATCGATCTCTGAGCTCCATCCGACTGTTCACCCATACGTGAGCAGCAGCTTGTCCACTATCGTCCGGAAGGCACACACGCCAACTGGTTCCTTCGTTCCCTTCAATCCTCCACGTATTACCTCAGAAGCCTGTTCTAATCTCAGCCGAAAGAGCAAAAACATTCCATTTGTCATTTAGCGAGCCTACGGCATCCTCGCTCGCGCTCTGGCTGGCAGACCTCGTCACCCCGTGTTCGTTCACTGCGTTACAATCAACTTCAAGTTTTACCCATTCATCTGACCGTCCACACAACACCGTGCTGCACTGTGTTTTTGTCGGAAGGTCAGACATCGCGAACTGACCACGCTCCTGGTGCGAAACTTGCCTCCTAGTATTTTAGGAAAGTCGAGTGTTGCCGCTGGCCCGAAACGGCACCCAAGCACTCTAGGGAGTGTTCTTCTCTGTGTGAGATGTACGTGTATGTATGATTTGGAAACCACACGGTTATATCTCATAAGTCAAGTGGCCCCCATGTCATAGCATGCCTGTGTAGGATAAGCAGGCTCCAAGATAGAAATGTGAGTCGATCCTTGGCCACGCTTGGCGCCTTCCTACGAGGTATCTGCTACCTATGTACCCTCGGCATGTACTGTAGTTAGCATGGTGGAAAAGTTGTTGATGACGCCCCACACAAACCGCCTGGGATTGGCCGTTCAAGATGCTTTCCATGATCCAGGCTCTACGCCACTCCACACGACTTCGTGTTTCTGCATGTCCCCGTGTTTCTTCCTCAGAATGGACGCTGAGGCAAACTAGGACTCAGCTGAGGTGAGCCTCCGCGACAGGGGCCGAGGCCCCCTTGCGAAAGCAGGGCATGCATGCAAGCAATCAGCTATCACTCGACACTCCGTACTCCTCTGGGAACTCGAAAACGAAGGGCAAAGCTTCGCTTGTGCTACGCCAACGGGGCCGTCCGCGGGAGATGTTCCGCTAGCTAGCATTTTTACCTGGAACCTCGTACTTTCTACTTAGTTAGATGCGGACAGAACCCAGCATGGGCGATGGGCGATTGCGTCGCGTTACTGGCTGGATACGAGGTACTATGTGCTTTAATATTCCCCTTTCAACTGTGAGACACCTACGTCTGAGCACTGGTTAGGGTCGTCAGGCTCCTCGTTCGCTGCCGTGAGGGTTGTTGGCTGGACTCAGTCCACTTGTGATGTATGCAATGAAGTCCGATGCAAGATGGATGAACAGAAAATGCAATTGTGGACGATCGGCTCTAGGTGTGCTTCGATTCGCGTCGTGCCAATGGACGAAGCAGGCTTGGGCCGGACGTTCGTGGTGGAATCCTTCTTGTGCTTCCCTGTGCCAGCGACCTCCCTTGTAGCTTCAAATATGAAACATAGTATAACATGCGCGTGAGTTGAGCGGCCCGCTGTCACCTGACACCTCTTACCAGGCATCTCTCCTCCATAATCTAACCTTGAATTCGTTCTTCGGATTGTAAGCGCCGGCACCAAGTTTCCGACCGGGGTGCACCCATTTACCGCCATTACTGAGCGGGACCATGTCCCACTGCATAATGATTGCGGCAGCAAAGACAATCACCTCTCTCTCCGCGAAGGTCTTGCCCTTACACATCTGTTTCCCACCTCCCCAAACCTTCATTGTGCCATACTCTACCCTCACATCTGCGTTGGAATCGTCTGAAGATGTGACAGGGAGCGTCTTCTCGCTCGTGGTGTCATTCGCTGCTGGCTGGTCTGGTTTCGACCAGAATCGTCTCGGATCGAAGCGTTTCGGGTCACGGAAATATCGCTGGTCGTTCTGGTGAATTCCATGTGGGATGCAGATCAACTCTCCCTTAGGTAGGAAATAGCTTTCTGGTGCCTTCTTTCCTAATAGCTTTGCGTCCTCTTCGGATTCAGTGACGATAAAATCCTCACCGATCATCTTGAAGCTGGAACTTGCCGCCTCAAGTCGTAGGCTCTCAAAGAAGGCGCCTTTGAGTAGTGGACATTTATGCCACAGAGAATCTAGGTCGATGTCAAGTTGCGGCGCATCTTTGACTGGGAGCCCGTTGTCGGGGGGTTGAACGAATCTGACATATGGTGCAATCTCGGTGCGTATTTCTGATAGGAGCGTTCGGTCAGAATAGACATAGAATATGAGCCAGAAAATTATTTGATTTGCATTGGCGTTCATGGCCTGGAAGAGGGATCAGCGATGAATACTGGCAAGGAATTAAAGTTTCAATCTGAAGCAAACCGTACTGGCTTGCTCGCACTGATGGCGATGCCACTCTCCTCAGATTGAGATGGACAACTCACCCACAATATAGCAGCATTTCCTGTGGCGAAACCTCGAGGTGGAGTGCCAGCTTTCCTGAATGCCTTCAGACGATCAACAATGACATCGGACACATCGGACAAATCCGAGTATTGAGTACCAGGATCTTCGCCGTCGAGATGTTTTAACAGCGCGATGTGGTGTTCTTCGACAGCATGCACCACTCGCTCGCGTGCCTTGTATGGTCCGGCCATCCCCGGCCACCAACTGGGTGCTCCTGTAACGAAGATATTGAATTTCGCGTCCATTTCCCACAAGTCAGAGAGAATGGTAGGATTATTCTCAAGAAAGTTGTGGCCAAAAAGGACTAGGGTTGCGATATCACCCACAAAGTCTCTTAGCAGAAGGTGTAAGCTAGCTTCAGCAATGAATGGCTTTGAGCCACTGCTGTCACTACCAGAGATGATTTCGACTTTTCCCGCACGTTCCCAGATGGATTGATCAACGTAGCTTCTAGAACCAGAAACTAAGTTCCAAGTTCTCTCTTGAATGTTTTTGACCGTTCCTTTAATTGCATGCGAGACAAAACTTTCCCTCAGCATTGTGTAGAGCACTGCGTGGATTTCTCCCCACAGCAGGGCAGGATCCATTGCTCTCATTGTTCCCTGATCATCCCAAACAGTTCTCATGACATGAAAGATAAAGGAGTCCATGTTGACGGGAGCATGTCTGTCAAAGAGAATTTGTCGGGCTAGACTGGGAGAGGTGACAATGTTGTTCTTGACACCACCCATGAGAATGCCGAAGGCGGAGGCTTCGGGACCAAGGGGTCTGGCCAGCCTCTCGAGGTACTCCGTAGCTCCTAGAGCGAAAGGGACAGCATGACCGAGCCAGGGAATCCAGTAGGAGAGCAATGGGACAGGCCTGGTGTTGTTCGAGGAGGATTGATTCCTTCCAACGGTGGCTCGATATCTCAAGGCTGTGATTACCCGTGTGGCGATGCACACAGTGGCAAATGCAGTAATAGCAGCAATGAATGGGTGGCCCATTGCAGTGGTAATTAGCTCTTGTAGTAGAGAGTTTTCTCTCTGTCCCCGTGGGAGTGACATGGTGGCGGTGAGCTCTGGTCAGCTTGCAGTAAGGCTGGACGCGATCCAAATAAATGATGAAAGACGAGAAGTCTTGCTTTTATGCCTGCTATCAGTAAGTATTTACGAGGTGGTACTATCTAGCCAGAAAACAAACCGATGCGCTATGTGGACAGGGCTTCCTCGTACGAATTTCTGCCGGATATGGTCCTGGTGGTTTGTTGAACTCGCACCTTGTACTCCGTACATGAAGGGTAAGTTGTCGGAGGTCGGCGTGCCGAGCTGACACCCTATGTCAGGGTCCACACGTAATTACGAGAAAAGGCGCTTCCTTATTCGCACAGGTTGATTTGGTGTTGGAATAAGATCCTGGCTATCAATCCATAACGTCGTTATTGCGGGCAGATCCCTCTCGCTTTCGCTTTCGCAAGCTTGCAGCCCTGTTGAAGGATGAGCCACCGACCTAGCGTGTTTGCCTTTTCTGGAGTCTAACGGGGTAGCCGGCTAGTGTCAATCAAGAGATCAGCAATCACTAGACACTGTAAAGAGTGTGATTCGGCCAGGATCCGAGCGGGATTAGGAGTACTTGCACACATGATCCCTCGGGATTTTATGCTCTGCGCTTGAAGCACCCAGGTGAGGGTTACGAATAAAGGTTTGGCATTCAGGAGGTACTTCGGAGTACTCACTCGATCAGAGTAGAAGCGGGAATTAATTATGCTAGATGCCGGATATAAAGCGGCCCGGTTCATGGCTCAGGTATCAGTCATGTAGCGAAAAAGTCTGAACAATTACTTGAGCAAAGCAGAGAACCATCGAAAGGGACAAATCCTTTGAGGGATCTCTTACAGGCTAATTTTCGGCCGCAGTCGAAGTAACCTGGGCACCGCTCTCAGCTCCCTTACGAGTTCAAACACATGGCTGGAAGGGATGGTTCTCCCTGTACTGATAAAGCCCCTGATACATGGAGCAAGAGATCGTTATTCGAGTAGTCATGATGAGCACCTAGGTAGAGAGACACAGTGCCTTTCTATTCAAAAGCACTGACATTTCGATGTCACGCTTGCTTTCATCAATTGAGTGGTCATAATTGTTCGTCAGTCATCCTCATCATCATCACTGTCTATAATGCGTCTCCTTCGGGAGCCCCTTGCCAGAGGAACCGCTGTTGCACCATCTGTCTTCATTCGAATACTCTTGCCCAAGATGTATTCCAGTTCGGGCATGTCATCTCCATCTCCGAACCCAAGGCTGCCCTGAGAAGCTTCGAAAAGCTCCGTAAGATCTAGGGTAGGCTTGTTAAGGACATCACCGTGTCCACTCAAGGGGTTGCCTCCTCGAAACTCTTCGCCGGTGCCACTACTCTTGCCAGTAGACTGCACTGGAGGAGACCCAACCGAGTCACAAGACAGCGTACTGGGCGAACGTCTAGTCCTGGTCTTGGACTCTGGAAACGTGCCTGGGTCGACATATTCACTTAGAGACGAGTCGAATTCTGTGTATCTTGATGGTCTAGTCCAATCCTGATGTGGGTTTCGCATTGCTCCGTAAGCCCTGACCAGATGATTCGTCATCCGCGAGTGCTTGATCAAATCGAATGGGCCTAATACCTGCTGCTGCTCTGGAAAGGCATCAAGCCGAACAGCCTGAATAAATTGGTCCTCCTTTCCGGCCACACGAATGTAGTTTGACTCCAGCTGTCCCTCTTGGTCCCCATTTAAAAGCACCTCCTTCACTGATGGGAGCAAGGCAATGTCGAGATCGATCTTGCATTCACTGAGGGGGTTGCGCGTTTTCAAACCTTTCCCCTGCTTTTTGCCAGCTCCAACAAAGGCAAATCCGGTTTCGACCCCGTCTGGCATACGGAACTTCTTCTTCGGCTTCTTTAAATTGTTGCTTTTCTTCCTGCGCGGCTCGATGGTCCCTGCCTGAGAATTTTCAATTGGAATCTCAACCACTCTTTTGTCCACCACGGGCACAATGTCTCGAGGCACAATCCGTGGTGAAAGATCGTCATGGAATTTAAAGTCGCGACCGCTCTCGATTTTCGCCTGCATCTTTTGGTAGTTGTCCTTCGCCTTCATGTAATCACTCTCTTCCTTTCCACGCATCAACAGTAGGACAATATTTCCAGCTCTCTTGCGACCTGTCCGGCCCATGCGCTGTAACATTCGAATTGGGGATTTCGAACAATCATAGCAAACAATTAAGTCCACCTCCCCAATATCGAGGCCCTCTTCTCCTATCGATGTCGCAACAATCGTGTTGAATGTTCCGTCTTTAAACTTTTTGATAACATCCAGCTGGGTTTTTTGGTCCATCCCTTCGGAGCCTTTCGTACCGGACTGCCCAACGAAAACACGAGGCCTAATCATTGGACCATGCCGCTTGAGCACTCTCACAATCTCTTCGGCGCTGTCTCTATAGTGAGCGAAAACCATGATCCGAGTGTTTGATGTCTTCGAGCCTGCCTGCCCTTCTCCAGCGTCCATAAAATGGTTCAGGATGACTGTCTTCAAGTATGACAACTTAGGGTGGCCAATAAAGTCAGGGTTGTTGACCCAACTTCTCAGGCGATTCATGAGTTTCTTGAAGTTCTCATCTTCTACGATCTGTTTGGCGTATTTGCCTCCACTGCTGGCGCTATCTGCAAAAGCTTTCATTTTACGATAGAAGGGACCAATGCCATGGTATTTGAGCAGCTCTAAATTGTGGGCCAGAGTCATCATCACCGTGGCTACGGCCCTGACCATACCCTTGATTGCAAAGCTTGCATTCCTACCAGCCTCTGATTTGGCCCATTTGTCACATGAGGTTTTGAGACCAAAAAGGGTGATAGACTCGGGGTTTTTTGTCCAATACACATTTTGCGAGCACAGCTTGGCCAAGAGTGGCCTTGTAGCAGCACAAAATAGTTCCAGGCACATCGTGACCTCGTCTGAATTGTCGAAGATCTGAGTTTCAACGTTTCTGGTATGGACAAAATCCCGGATGTCCATAGAGTCTTCGGTCCTGATTTCGACTCTAGCGATGCCAAGACCATCTATCACCGCCTGCACCGACTCTACAGTCGATCCAGGTGTGGCAGTCAACGCGAGAACCCGAAAGCTCGAGTTATAACGTCTCAAGAACCTGATAACTTCAACGTAGGCGTAATTTCCGGTGGCCTTGTGGGCTTCATCAACCACAACCAGCACAATCTTCTTTGGGTCGCACATGCCGTTCTTCAGGTCATTGATCAAGGTTTGTGGTGTCAAGAAGAATACTCTCTTCTCTTGCCATTCTTCCGCGCGGATTCCTGGCGCGACTTCACCAGTCAGCATAGTGGTCTGTGAGCGTGGGATGCCGGCAATATTAAAACATGCGTCAACTTGTTGGGATACGAGTGGCTTCGTAGGCGCCACAAATATGATCTGAGCGTCTTTAGTCCATCGAAACCAGTTCAACATCACGGTAGCGGCTATGAACGTCTTCCCCAGGCCAGTTGGTAGCGCGATGAGCAGATTGTTGAATAGACCTTTGTGTACGATGTTGTACTGATAGTCTCTGATGCGCCCCAAATTCGTAGGATACACCCATGTGGCCATGGCTTCAGGGTTGAGACGGTGATGGGTGGGCGGTTCATTTCGATTTAAAAGAGGCCAAATGTGGGCTCTTGACTGTGTTTGTGTCATTGCAGGCGCTCTTTGCGTTGTTTGAATTCCATGAAGAGTGGTCTGGCGAAAAGATTGCGATTTCTGAAGGGGAACACAGTTCATGGGTCCAGAGGAATTCGAGAACACAGTTTCGGAACCGAAACTCGTAGTCACGTTCTGAACTGTTTGGCCTGCCGCCGCTGCAGCCTCAAAGGCTTGTAGCAAGACCAGGTCGTCTTCCTCATCCTCAAACTCATCAACGGTACATGAGCTCGGTTCAGGCTGTAGTGGTTTCTTTAAAGGCATGACTTTACCTTTCCCCAGTGAACAGGCCGGAGAAGCGGGTGAGTCGGCTCGGGGCTTCATCCAGCGTGGACCTCTTATTCTTGAAGGTGAAGACCATTGTTGAGTTAACTGGGTGACAAAAGTATTGGTTGTCCGATCTCCGTACTGCGGAACGTGAATGCGATCCTCATATTTTGACCTGTGCGCCTCTGTAGATCCTAGCCGACTCTCTTCTCTTCCATGATCAGGGTTTGAGGGAAGATCATATTCTTCGTCATCTGATTGGAATTGGTTGGTACGCTGGCGTTTTCGAGATCGACGAGGGTTGTCGTCTTGGGAGCTGGGAGGTAGTGATTCATCGTCTAGGCTGATATCTGCGTCGTCGTCAAGGAAGTCCATGTCGATAGAGGGAGCAACGCCAAACTTGTCTCGACTTGGTGTCTAGATGTATTAATGGGAAGTCGGTTGCGCCTGGACAATAGTCAGGTGTTCTTGCACCAGCAGAACGCGGTTGGCGTAGAGACGCGGGTGCGCGTAGTCACGTTGTTCTATGGCGAGTCATAGAGCATGAGGTGCATTTTCATCATCGTGGCTTGGCAGTTTTGGTCGGCAATACCCAGGCGAACCTGGTCCCATGTAGGGCCTGCATGGCACTCCCTAGCAAAGGGATAGTCTTACAGTAGGAGTATGGCGCTTTCAAATTGCTTACACTGCGGTGCTAGGTGCTGTGTTTTCCCCATTCTGCTTCAGGAGCAATTGAAGTCCTATTCGTAACTGCTGCTTGAAGTTCTGACCGATTTACCAATATCTTCGGATACAACAGAAGCAGTATGGAGTACCCCGTCCTGTGAAAGCTTTCCCACCCTGACGCAAGGGAGAGCAGAAGAGGCGACCAAGACGAGAACAATAATGACTGATGCGGCTTTCTCGAATCATGTGGTTGAGCCGCGAGCGCCTAAACCAGTCTCGCGGAGTCCGGCAACCGTAAGCGAAGTTAGCAAACACGAGACAATTTCCGACCACAGCTGAGAACTAAGATGAGCTTTTGCAACACCCCAATTATTTTTCTTGGTACCGATTATTATGACAACACGAATAGCCTTCGGCCAGCTCGGGGAATTACTTTACGCGCCGTCAACTGTCACCCTTTTCTATTCACAGACCATGACATATGATGATGTACCTCGGACCTCGTACCTCATATTGTTGGTAGGAAGTATCAGTCGATGCTGCAAAACCCAACATCAATGTGTGAAACCTGCAGGAGTCGCCACAAACAAACCAGCTGTTGGTCTGCTCTTGTTGGTTATAGTGGACCACGAGATAAGCAAATCAGCTTCAAGTCGGTTCGGGTCATGAAAATCAACCAGACTTTTGCAAGTCCAACCAAGAGGCACGCGAAAATCCGACCAAGAGATTCTAGGACATTGGCCAGGGGAACAAGGCTTAGGGTCTTAGCATGGCCATTCCTATTCGAAGATGCGCATCTAAGCAAGCCACCCTGTAGGCTTCCGAAACACTAACCTTGAGAATCAGGCTTTCTGGGGAGATTGACGGTGGAGATTTTGAGCACAACCATTGACGAAGCTGGTCTCCCATTCCCCGAATACGGGATGTACCATATATCTACTTTTTATTGTCGCGTTCTCTCTTTCGCGCTGGCCCGATCAGTCTCTCAAGCGCATCTGCATCTGGTCTGCTTCTGTGCTGGCATTCTGCCAATTCCGTTCCTTTCTCAATTACTTTCGATTGATCGACTGTCCCTCGTTTTATTCCATTCAACCTCGATACCAATTTTCTCGCCCCGATTCTCTTCGAAGATTTACGTCGCACCCAACAGTTTAAGATCGTTGAATCCCTCGAACAAGATGCGCTTCTTCGGACTTCTCGCCACTTTCGGATTGGTGGCCCTTGTCGCTGCACAGGACGCAAATTCCACCGAGACAGGCACTACAACCGCGCCCGCCGCAACCAACTCTTTGGATCCTCAGATCAGATGCCTCCAGAAGTGTAAGTCGAAGATCAACATACGACGCTAAACATGCGCTGAGTCATTACTTGAACAGGTGGTTCCGCCGACGTCTGCTGTCAAGCAGCCTGTGTCAACGTTCCCTGCCCCAGCCAGCTTCAGGCGAATGCAACCACTGAATGTGCAGCCCAATGCCCGCAAGGAAATGGCACAGCAGCTGAAACGGAGCAGTATGCTGAGTGCCAGTCTGCCTGCATCAGCTCCTACTTCCTCACAGACACCGCCACTGCAACAGCCGCACCGACAGGAAGTGCAACTGGCACAGCAACCTTTGGAGGCTCCAGTGCAACAACTACTGGCTCTTCGTCAGGTATGTTACATTCACGACTTCGATACTGTGGCTAAGACTAACTGTTGTTAGATAACGATGCCGCGTCAAGCACTTCTGGCTCAGCCGGCGCAGCATCAACCGGTAACGGCGCAGATGCTCTTCACGTTGGTGCCGTCGGCCTGGGCTTTCTCGGCTTGGTTGTTGCTGGATTGGCACTGTAATTGGTGAATTGATCATGATGATTTGAAACAAAGCATTGATTGAAGCGCAAATGCTTTGAAACTTGGAGTTCTGCAAGCAGGGCCATTTTAGCCATTCTTCGCCTCCGAGACTCGCGTCAGGTCTCGAGGCACTTTCACATGGGGAGATGAATATTAATAGCAACCTATGACCTTGTTTGGGTTTGGCGCTCAATACGGAGTATTTCTGGCTATGCGTAGGGCTGGATCAACACTACCTGAAGCAATTAGATATAATGTGAACCCCTGAAGCGTTATGGGTCCAATAGTGTTCGAGAAAGCAATAGAGGAGAGTCTCGTGGCTACACTTTCATAATCCCATCGGTAAATAAAATCAGCTTTACTGACACATCGCAAAATCGACTAATCATTGACTCGAAGGTCAATGCGACACAATTAGTTGTAATTAAGGCGTCATTACGATTAAGAGGATTATCTACAACACCGGTGGTAGACAAGAAAACACATTAACGGAGAAAGTTATAGGAGCAAAACAAGAGCATATCAGCGCGCAAGATTGCGGGCAAGGTCATAACTGCCGAAGATGACGAAGACAGAGAAGACATCGCTAAAGTGCTTCTATTGTGACCAGAGCTTTATATGAATCCAGAAGCCACCAGGCTATAAGTGAGGATGAGACAATCATGGCTCAGCGCCTGGCGCTGACGGATGTTAATAGATCTAGTGGAGCACCACATCTACATGTGGTGGTTCGTGTCCCATATACTGTCGGAGGCGGGATTTTGCCTTCGAAGACAGTAGAATACACCGTCCGAATATCTAGATACTCGTATGCTGGCTGGTCCTAAGCGTGCTTTTCCTTGTTAATGCGACGGCATGTGTGCTCCCCGTCCTACATTCGACGGCTTAAAGTCCTCGGATAATGAATGAATTATCTCTTTCCATCCTTTTGTTCGCCGCGTATAATATTCTCTCTAGTTGCCATCTAATATATCTTCGTGCGAACTACACCCCTTCTCGCCATGCTTGCTAGTCGTCTGATTCTTAACTCCATTTCTCTTTGTAGTAGGGCGACCTTATGCTACAGTAAGATCACACCATGGACTGGCCCTCAATTTCAGTACCCAGCGTGTGGTGTCAAGATGCATCTTTCTGCTCCTCTAAATTTAATACGGAGTCTTTCTTTTAGCCCTGCCTCTTATTCATCAATATCTGACATTACTCCTTATCTTGGAGACCAGGGTCGCCGATTTCGCCCACAGGAACATCCACAACACGGCACGATGCATATTGAATGTGATATAATGGACGCATTTAGTCCCGAGGTGGCAGAAGGTCTGGATCCACAGGCACTGTTGAGGAGGGAGAAGGTGCTAGGGATGGAGCATTTTAGTTACAAGAGAGCATCTACAACATCATTCATTATCGTACCGAATATTAAGTGCTCATTTACGGAGATCTATGTCCTACCCATGTCCCCTGATCGTCGGAGTGGTCCATATTTCGAGGCTTGGGAGTGATTCTGGCAGAATTCCCAGGTCCTGTAGGGCAGGGGATAAGTCTACGATATCGATTGACCTGAACAAAAGGGAAAGAGTGAAAACCTCTATGGCTCAGTTGAGATATAGATGGCCCTATGGTTTGATAGTATAGTGTTGGAGTCAAGATACAACTAGGGCATACTAATACTACTAACACATGACCACCCTAGCAAATATGGATACTAAAATACGGGCCGGACCAGAAGACCTCCTGTCTTGAACCATGAAAAAAGCCACTCTATCAGCATTTGGAATGCTTTGAAATCATGGAAAGGGGCTCCTGGAGATCAAGTTCCCAGGAAATGTCTATATAAAACTAGAACAGAGTCTATAGAGTTGAAGAAGGCAGAGATTTCATATATCGCGGAGCGCATGTCAAAATGGAGTTAATCCACTTCCTCCAATATATCGAGATTAATTGAGCTATACATACATATGGACTACGTTCCATGAAGCCGCGTTATAATCATCTGGGCCTAGTTCTGATCCACATGTTCATATCATGCTGGAACGTGAACCAATAAGTCGTGATGTGCCAGGGTTTGTCAGGGTCGACGAGACCGACATCAAAGTCACGCAGTAGCTGAGCAATGAACTTGTGAATCTCCACCTATTTTGTACATGATCAGTATAGCTCGAGAGGCGTGCAGGCACAATGGTACGACTTACCAGCGCTATATTACGTCCTACGCACATTCTTGGACCACTGCCACCAAATGTCATATTGATTGAATCCATCAATCGGGTTTTTTGCTCGTCCTCGAACCACCTCTCGGCCCTGAAATCGTCCGCATCAGCGCCAAACACCTCCTGATCCCGATTCTGTGCAATGGGACTGACTCCAACCGACGTGCCTACTGGGATATGTTTGTCTTTGACGATCAACCCTTCCGGGGCGTATCTTGGAAGCTGATAGGCGATCGATGGCAGAAGTCTCATTGCCTCTTTACAGACCGCGATCAGGTACGGGATCTTCTGGGTGTCTTGGTACTTGATTGGCATTGTGAGTCCCATCGAGTCATAAAAATGATCAACAGCTTCTTGTAGCTTTTTATAGACGTCCGGCCTCGAACAAATGTAGAACAGGCACGTCCTCATACCGATTGACGTGGTATCAGCTCCTGCTCCACTACAGAAATATTGTTATTTACGACTCTGTTAGTATATTTCGAAGCACATACACAATATTCAGAGCTTCTGTGAGAACATCTGAAAAGGATACTGGCTCGCCTTTATCGTCCTTCATGCGTATAAAGTGAGCGAGCATATCATCTCTGACAATGGAGTTAGGATTTTGCATGCGGTCTCGGACCCGTTGCGAACTCCAGTCCTGAAACTTGTGGAGTGGGTTAGCGCGTCCCAGAAAAGCTAACAGATTCGTCATCAGTTTGTTGTTGACTAAACGAGTCTGCCCTGGAAAATGTCCCATATTGGACATGAGGAAAAACCCGTCAAAGATGTCTTTTCGAACGCCCATGACATCGGTTCCAGTCTCAAGGTGTCCAAGCTTGGATCCATAAGCCAGCTCACCCACGACGTCGAAAGTCAAGGCATTGGTCCAATCTGACATATTGATCGACTTCCCAGCGTCGGCGTGCTGTCGTAGCCGTAGAAACATAAGATCTAAACAACTTTGGATGTAAGGCTCAAACTTGATGATAGCCGACATAGAATAGGCGCCGGAAACGCGTTTGCGCAGAACGGCGTGGACTTTCTTCTGCCGTGTCGAGAAAAGGCTGGGCGAACTGTCCGGAAGGTCCCAAGTCTTGTACCAACTTGTCTTTTCAGCATTGTGGCCGTGGCCGTAGAGCTGCTTTGTGACATGGGCGTCAACGACAGATAGCTCGTTCGGTGCTATACGAACTATGGGTCCGTATTTCCGGTGAAGTTCCAGAATGTCTTCGTGCCAGCTGCCTCTGAGATAGTGCAAGGTGCGCCACCACCCGCTTAGCTTGGCCAGCAGAGGTCCAGGAACATGTTCCAGGGGATGAAAGTAGAGGCGGTAAAAAACGAAACTCAAGCCACAAAAGAGCAAAGCACCTAGGGGGGCTTCCACAACCACCTCGCGAGAAGTTTGCATTTTTTCAAATGGCGCCGCGTTTGCACCAAGGAAGCCAGCAAAAAAAGATGGATAAGGAGCCCGTTGGCATCGATAATAGCCCCATTGAAGCAAGAGGCTCGTTAAAAGTAAGAGGCTACTATGATTTATAATTTCTCGTACGCTCAAAGAACGCGTCGAGGTGTTAGTCCGGAATGGTAAGGCTTCGCAAGATCTCGTGCATCGAACATGAAATGAAGGTGAAGGTGGGGGTGGGGAAGTGAGGAGGAGTCCCTTTTCTGGACAACCGTGCCAATCAACATTCGCGACATACAATCCACAGTCGGACGAGAAAGCAGCAGAGCCGAGAAAACTCATTGGAGGGTCATGCGGAAGTGCCATTAAATGATGACTGAGCGTGCATACAGGCGAATCGTGGGTTCTCTGCATTAGTGCAAATTCCCCCGTGGAGTCAGGAGCCCCGGTCTGGGCTCCCCCACATCAGGACTCGAGGCTTTACAAAGCCTTCTAACTTTAGCCAGCACATTCACGAAACCCTTGTACCTCAAAGCCCCCACTTTCGGCAAGAAAATATGGATGTCACGACGAAGCTGCACTTCCCGGCATCATATAAGCGACAGAGTGGTCATCAAGAGGTCAAGGCCGAGGTCGTTCCACTAAGAGTTGAAAAGACAATTGACCATTTCCTGGACCAACCAAAATACAGCTCCAGTGGCTTTGCTAGGGACAAACAATGAGGCTAGCAGAAGAATAGGTTCTCCTGTCTCTTCGTTGTCTTTTTTCCCATCAATTGTGCGCCAAGGATTTACTGAACGTCTACATTCTGAACAAAACCCATCCCGACAACCAACATCAGCAGCGATGTCTGGCTCCGAAGACTGTGAGGTTCTTCTGGTAGGGGCAGGGCCGGTGGGCCTCCTGACAACTCTCTTTCTGGCCCAATCGGGCGTGAACGCAATTCTTATCGACCGCCTTCCAGACATCGACAATTCGCCACGCGCCATGGGGTATGGCGCTCCTGGGATTGTCGAGCTGGAAAGAGCTGGAGTTGCGGCCGACGCACGCAGAGTGAACATGGAGCCCATTGATTACGACGCTTGGATCAAATGGATCACTATCGACAATAGGCTGATTGCGGAGTTTCAGCCCGAGGACAAACTTCCGGGGTCGTACGATATGGTTCTTTGTGGACAATTCACGTTGGCAAGGATCATCCAAGAACACTTAGGTAGATATAGTTGTGCAAAGGTACGTGATACATTTCCTGATATGGTCTTCGTTAATTTTAGCTCACGTATCCATATCCTAAGATACTGTTCGAGCACACTTTACGCGATTTTAAGGAGGAAGGAGACTCGTTACGAGCAATCTTTGATACGCCGACCGGCGAGAAGGCAATCACAACAAAGTATCTAGTCGGGAGTGATGGCGCCCGATCAACAGTACGCAAGCTCCTCAATATCAGCTATGAAGGCTTCACACTTCCACAATGGCTTGTGGCGTGCAATGTCCGATACCCTTTCAGGGAGCACGGCTTCGGACCTGGTCAATTTATAGTACATCCTGAGCATTTCTGCTTGGTCGCCAAGATTGATCCAACTGGTCTGTTCCGAGTATCCTACAATGAGCGAGAAGACTTGACTAGGGATGAGGTTCTGGCAAACGTCCACTCTAAGTTCGAGGCCATTTTTCCGGGACCTAAGCCCCTCAAGAAAGATTCTTATAAGATCGAAATGGTGAGTCCATATCGGATTCATCAGCGAAGCGCGACAACCTACCGGAAAGGGAGGGCGCTCCTAGCGGGAGACGCAGCTCATGCATGTTCACCATTTGGTGGTGAGTATTGTGCACGTAATCTCCTATTATTAGGCAACGCTGATAAATATTATCCCCTAGGGATGGGATTGACCGGCGGGATATGTGACGCCGGCGGACTCGCCGATTGTCTGATAGGCGTCCTGCGGAAGGGTTGTGACGACTCGCTGCTGGACCGATATGCCGAGATTCGGAGGCAAAAGTACACCGAGATCACCAACCCGGTCAGCTACGGCAATCTCTGCGCGATGAGGGATGTGGATCCGGAAAAGGCAAAAGAGGTCGAACCCTACAAGACACTTAACATATCACGCGAGGCTCGGAGGGAGATAATGAAGAGAGCATACCTTCTTGGGTAAGTTATGATGGTCTAACTGCCTTAGCTCTAACCTCGCTTACTGTATAACTTTACAGGCATGATTTTAGGCAAGATTGGCCAAGCTTCCAGGGTCGCAAAGACGAGAAGAAACAAGCAGCGAGTGGCATTTTGATGGAGTCTATGTCTTAGAGATGAACTAATATCACAAGATTTGCTACCGAAGGGAAAGTTTACTATTACAAGATGTGTCCGCAAATTGTCCATCCGCCCGTATCTCAACCATCATACTGACTGAATGAGTGATCGACCGAAGTCATATTCCTCGGCCGTCTCAGCACAGTAGGCCCTAACTAATTCTGAATGACCCTGTACAGTACCCAGGGTAGAAATTAGAATTGATACAAGTAATAATCGATATAGTCCTTATAACGTCAAGACTAGCAACTCGGTAGTTGATAAGATAGTGATTGAGCAGAAACTTAGATAAAATAAGGCAGAACGATACTACTCAAGCATTCGATTTGCGCGAAAAAGTCGATTTCTGCAGCGGCACTGGCAACTTCTGGCAAGCAGCGGCCAACGAACTGCTTGAAAGGGCCGAAAGTGATGGGCCTAAGAAGTAGAAGCTTAGGCTGACGGACAGCTTCGGTGAAGACGAACGCTTTGACCAGCGGGAGGAGTGGTTTTGGACTTGTGTTCCGAAAAAATCAGTTATACGGGGCACGAGAACTCCCCCGGCTCCAAGATGGACGGTGCAGAAGGACGTTGGCAAAATCGTTGTGCCTATAAGGATTCGGCCAATCGGTTGTCCCAGATGGCCCGGCTATATCACCTGAAGGCTACCGAGACTTAGACTGATCTATGGGGTATCCACGGGGTTTGGACGAGCTAGTGATCCCGGGAGGTCTCCCCGGTCGAATAATGGTCCGTGACTCGCCTATGACCACGCGGGGTGTTCACCCCTTGTCATGTCTCGCGCCTACTTCTGCTTTTTGTATAAAAAATGGCATCGATCGTCCTGTGAAAAAGAACTATTCGGCATCCTTAACTCAGTACAAGTTCTCGAAACTCATGCTAGCCACAACGGAAGAGCTTTCAACCATGGACAAAATGGCCAGCAGCAAGGCAGAGACATTCGAGGACCTCTCTCAGGCCCCAGCAGAAAGCTTTGAAGAGATTGAAGAAGTCCACATACATGCAAAGACGATAATTGCCTCAGTGGTGAGTGGAGTCAGACCTGCAATAGACTGCGACCTATTCTAAGATCTCACTCCTAGGCCATTTGTTTTATGCAATTTGCCCTTGTCTCAGCAACCGTGGGATCTGGTGCCCTTGGGGCAGTTTCTACAGGCCTTTTTGGTGATTCTAGCAAAGGCCCCTGGCTCAACACCATCATTCTCCTCTTCGGTGTTGCGGGTAACCCACTTTTTGGCCAGTCTGTGGACTTATGGGGTAGGAAGTGGATCATTGTTGGAACGAGCTTCATGGGCATTATCGGTTCTATTATAGTTTCCTGTGCACAGAATCTCGCCACCCTGATCGCCGGCTTCTGCGTCATCGGCATCTCATTCACCAGCCAGTTCTGTCTCCTTGCCATCGCTTCGGAAATCCTGCCTCGCAGCCATCGAGGAGTCGGGCAAGTCGCGCTCAGTGCTTCTACAGGCTTCGCGCTTATAAGTGGTGCTCTTGCATGTGGTGCTTTAACCCGCGGAGGCCATGCTGACAATTATCGAATTTTCTTCTACTATGTCGCCGCCCTGTATGTAGTTGCCACACTTGGACTTGCTTTCGGCTACACTCCACCAGCACGAGAGCTTCAGCAGACTCTGACAACACGGCAGAAAGTCCAAAGACTCGACGGAGTTGGTATGTTCCTAGTCTCTATCGGGGCCACGCTGTTCTGTGTTGGACTCCAGTTTTCGAGCACCTCCGGTAGCTGGCAGGATGGCCGAGTCTTAGGCCCATTCGTTGCCGGCGTCACATTGATGACTGTGTTTGGGATATACGAATGGAGGTTCAAGAAAGATGGTATTCTCCATCACGACCTCTTCCGCCATCGCAACTTCGCTCTCTGTGTGATCATCGTCGGACTTGAGGGCCTCTCCTTCTATACAACCAATGTCTTTCTCATTTTGGAAAGCACGATCGTCGAGGGTACCGACATATTCCAGGCCTCGCTCCGCCTCGCCATCCCCTGCTCCGTCGCTTCGGTGGTACTCCTTGGCATTGCCCTTCTGCTCACCAGATTCAGAAGAATTCGAGAGCCACTTGTGTTTGGCTTCGCTCTGTTGACCATCTCGCCTGGGCTTATGTCGACAATCACTTCGAGCTCAGGAGCTGGTGCTTTCATTGGATATCCCACCCTTGGTGTCGTCGGCTTACAATTTGCGCTGGCCAGTGTTGCTGTGGGTGCACAGTTTGCTACACCACCGGACATGATTGCTGTCACCTCGGCAGTCTTCGCTGCGGGCAGAAGTCTTGGAGGGGCGATCGGAATCGCTGTGAATTCCGCTCTTCTTTCCAATGCGTTATCATCAGAGCTGCCGAAAAAGATTGCAGCGGAGGTCCTTCCGCTGGGGTTAGAAGCAGCCTCGCTACCAGCCCTGATATCGGCATTGATGGCGAATGACCAACAAGCTTTAGCAGCTGTCCCTGGAATTAGCCCTACCATCATCTCCGCTGCTGCGCAGGGCATTAAAAGCGGGTACGCTGCTTCCTTCAGACCGGCCTGGATTGCGTCTGCTGCCTTCGCTGCTGCCGGAACCATAAGTAAGTATACTCCACGTCTTTGCAGTACTTCGTTTACCATTCTTAGTTTGCATGTTTGTGACAAATCCTATGAAGGAGTTCACTCCACATATCGACGCTCCGGTTGAGGCAGAGTTGATAGAACTTCAGGAGAAAAAGGAAGCTCTCGAACGACGTCGTCAAAATTGCTGAACCATAGGATGGTACTCGACGGTGGCCATAACAGCGTCCGACCATAGCCATGCTCACTATCCGTAACTCCTTGTTGACGGCTTCCTTGAACATTTCATTGGAACGACCAACTGCGTCACCTTGGCACAACGGTCACGCAGGTTGCTTGTCTGCTTCCTAATATGCGACGGGAGGGTGGTGGCACAAAGTCTGACGTCCACAATTACTTCTTGTATTAGTGATGTTTCCACAGCACCTTAAAGTAAACCGAGGTGAATTACCGAGGTCCGAGATGAATATTAAAGACCAAAGGCTCTAGTCCAGCTCAGAGACTAGCAGAACGCTCTGGTAATGCCTTCGGATGTAGATGATGCATAACTTTGAGTAAGCCGGACCCTTCCATTCTGCATAATTCTGGAGTAGTCAGCAAATCCAATGGCGATGATCGTGAAATCGAGGCCTAGTTATAGAAGCTGTCATGTAAGCCCCTGCAATCCAAAGGTTAATCCACTCAAGCCCTCCTCGAGGTAAGTATCCAAGTCCAAGCAACTACCTCCTCCTATTCGGCCAGCCTACGGCTCCCGATGTGGGGTTGAGGGAAACGCTCACCGTGACAGCCGTGGATTAACTGCCGGAGTCATAAGCAACGTTAAGGTGAAGAATATATATATGCCTTCCCTCCTTCTTCCAGCCAGACCCACGTTCTGTTATGCAACGCCTGCTTAGCCTTTAACCTTTGCTGACCAATTTGCTATTAGCTGAGGTCCAACGTCAACCCGCTCTCTGGGAAGTATGGCTGAGCTGCAACACCCAGAACTCGGTCTTATCCATGGCAAAGCCAACAATGGCGTGATCCAATTTTCTGGCATCAAATACGCTTCGTTGAAGCACAGATTCAGCACTGCCGAGCTGCACAATGGACCTGGACCCTCTGGGGAGACAGATGCCACAAAAATTGGGTTAGGTCTTGCTCATGCCTCGAAAGCACTATGATTGGAAGACTAATGTAACGTCCGTGTCTTTTCCAGAGCTGCCGCAATCGCATTTCCAAAGGGTTGGGAGAAAGAATTCGCACTAGTCCAGCAGAGCGTGCAAGTTCCAGACTTCCCACCACAGTCAGACACCGAATGCCTCAATCTGACCATCACGGTGCCGGAAGCGTCTTTCGAGAAGCCGCTGCCCGTGTTCGTTTTCGTTCACGGCGGTGCCTTTTTCATGGGCTCGGGTACCTGGCCACAATATGACCACGCTGCTCTTGTTCGACGTTCTGTTGAGATCGGCAAACCAATTATAGGAGTCAACATAAAGTGAGTGTTCGATAGCGTCTTCGATCAACTTACTCGAAGCTAATGGACATGAAGCTATCGAACCGGCATCTTTGGCTTTCTTACGTCAGAGGAGCTTCGAGGAGCAGGCATTAAGCCCAACAATGGGCTCCGTGATCAGAGAGTCGCATTTCAGTGGGTGAAGAAATATATCGGAGGATTCAACGGCTCTCCCGAACAGATCTGTGCGATGGGGCAGAGTGCAGGTGGAGGTGAGACTCAGATCACTTGTCCACTGAGCTTTCGTCGACCTGATTAACGAGGTCGGTCTCCCTTGCAGCTAGTGCCACGCTACAACTCCAGTCGGAGGAACCGCTTTTCCACCGCCTAGTCGACCTGTCAGGCACATGCCTCTTTATCAGACCTTCGCCGCCGTCTCTCCACGAGATATTCTATCAGAACTTCTGCGAAGCTCATGGCCTTACCCATTTGTCTGGTAGAGAGAGAATTGCAGCCATCGACAACATCGACAGTCAGCGCCTATTACTCAATACGCCACCATCAGTACCCGCGCTACCTGTACTTGACGGCGACTTACTGAAGTCTGTGTCAACCTTTGAGAATGTCGAGAGCTGGAATAGTCCTGGCGAGCCTCCTCTGGAGGGCCTTAAGTGGTGTAAAGAACTATTCATCGGTGACTGCCAGTTTGACGTAAGCTCTGCTAGTATTTTTGCTGGAAATGCTTACTTGCTGACAACGAGGCAATAGGGCAACATCCTCCAGTTCAGCCTCGGTCACCGCCAGTGTGGAATTGCTAAGGAGATCGAAGAATCGCTACAACGCAATCTCCCTCTTTGTGAAAAGTCTGTCATCGACTCTCTTCTCGAGGCCTACGGTATTTCGAACGCAAAGGATGATCAAGCTGCATATATTGCGGTCTTGGAGTTGGGGAATGATATCACCGCCTACCTACCCGTAGAATCATTTGCTCGAAATTGGCCAGGAACAGCGTACACGTATCACCTCAACGAACCTAATCCTTGGGATGGTCCTTTCAAAGGCTACGCCATACATATCTTTGATGTGGCGCTCCTCTTCAAGAACTATGATCATGCACTCACCCAGCCGGTCAAGGCGGTAGGGCAGGCATTTGGCGATAGTGTCATCAGCTTCATCAGTGGAGAGACACCATGGGATAGCACAGGTCACAGGCCGCTCGCATATGTGTTTGGTGGGCAAGGTGGGAGTAGATTGGTGGAGGACACACCTATTCAGGTGGGTCGAAGAGATGTGCTTTTCCGCTACAAGAACACCATAGGGTTTGATAACCTCAATGAGGCTTTTGTTGCGTTTCTCAACGGCAGATAGGGGTCTCAGAATTACTACAAGCGGCAACTCTGCAAAGGAGACAAGTCAGGTCAGTGGGTGTTTCATCTTCACCATTGAATCTTAAAGAGAGCCGTTCTGTATCTGAAACGACAAATTTGAAGTAGAGACCACCACGGAGCGGTCATGTGCAACCACTGCTCACAAAACCCAAGCATACTGCAATCACGCCAAAGAATTTGGTGGGTTAGATTTGGTCTCCAAGGTGTGGAACCATTGCAAACATCGACTGGAGCTGCATGGGGTCCGTCGCAGAGAGCGTATCGACGTCGAAAAACCGATTGAAATCCCAGAGGCCTGGTACGTCTGACTCGAACTGGCTGAAGACGTCCGTCGCATTCGTATCGCTCCCGAAGGCGTTACTGGATGGCTGCGCATCGAGATCGCCTTCTCCAGAAGCAGACTCAAAGACTGGATAGTGCATACCTTGTCCCTCGACTGGCCTAAGTCTGCGGCCACGTGCCCCTCGATTACCGCGAAGGATCTTCCTAAACATGTGGAAGACCCAACTGCAGACTGGCCAGCTGCCACTCAGCTCTTTCATGGCAAGCATGCACACTCTCAACCGACCCCTTGCCAGGACTTTGGCGGTGGGCCCATTCTTATAGGATTCAACCATGGCAACATGGATGGACATCGCTGCAAAGAGAGCGGGAAATCTGTGCACGACGCGTCAATGAAGCTTTATTTGTCAAAAGAGAGGTTGGGAACGCACAAGCTGGAGGGGCAGAATCGGACTTGGTCGTCCTCGAGAAGCTCTTCGAAGAGGCCAGATATCAATTTCGCTGGCCTCAGAGTAGAAGCGGAGTGTATGCTTGAGGATCTGTCGGGGTTCTTGGTCGTGTCGACGGGTCGTTCGAGGAGAAGTAGTAGGTAGCTGCATATAATAAGGTGGTATTATCAGTCCGATCTGCATTGTTAGGCACAGTTCATTGGATCCTTACTTGTAATAAATGTGCAAAAACTTGACCCAGAACTCGACGTGGTATCCTGCACCGAGTTGCAATTCCGTTTCGAGACTTTGGTACCACTCTCGAAGAGTGGTTCGAGCTTCGGCCAGCTTCCCATCTGCTCCGCGTGGTCTGTGACCCTGGCTGATCAGGCCGGCTGGAGCAGACATGGTGAGTAGGAGGGAGGCAAGTGGGCAACGGTAACATACCAATGTTACTGAGCTTGCTCATGTTCAAGAAATATAGTTTCTCCAAGTGTGTTGATCGACCAACAAGCGGTTCGTCCATCTGCAGATCGTTGTCTTCCAGGAAGATAGACACATCCAAGGGCTCCACGTCGCAGTCCTCGGAGTGCAGATGAAGCGGCCTACCAAGCGCTGTAGCCAACTGTGCATCTCGCAGTCTCAGACATGCCCAAATTCTCGTCCACAGCCGCCTCTGATGATCTGGCAAGCCTGAGCACGCTGTACTCCGATGCATACCGCAGCCCTGTGCTAAGGATATGGCCATATTCAGCCAAAAAATTGAATCCTTTTGCTCTGTCGGGCTGTCCCACCAGAATTGGAGCAGGAGCAAAACCTGTATGTTGATGAGCCGATCTGTCTCGAGGGCGGCGTCCCATAGAGCCTTCGTTCGGCGAAAATAGGTGACTTTGGCGTCTATTCGGGACTGGAAACCGGCGCTTTGAACCACAGAGGTAGAACAATGAGTGAAGGCCGTCAAAAACACAGCTTGGAGAAGCATAAGGCTAAGGCTTCTCGAGGAGCCTACAACGGTGAACTCTCCGGTATTGTAGAGGCCGATGAAATGAGACCGATCCAGGAATGGGTAGGACGGTTGGAACACGGAGAAGTAAATCCTTACCAATTCATCTTGGACCGCCTTGGGAGGCAGATGGTCGTTGTTGGACATAGTAAGGGTTCGGGGGGCTTCGTTCTCTGCGACAACTCTTCCTGTTGCAGATTCGCCTACGACGAAGTAGTGCAGTGGGCGTTGAGGGTCCGACAGGCGGCGTTGGCCGACAGTATATGAGAGATTGTGCAGAGGGTTGCCCACATAGAGAACTGTAGATCCCTGCTCTTGTGTTGGGATTGGAGCATCGTCATCTATGAGGTCGGCGTAGATTGCATCGGTCTGAGGTTTGGGGGGTGATGCAGGCTCCAGAGGCGACTGAGGTCCTGAGTCCATGACATCTGAAACAGGCCATTGCGTCAGTTTGGCTCATGGTGAGCACGAAGGGGATCAGTCAGAAGACTCCAGAGCGTGCGGGCTGGAAGTGGACATAATTGAAAATGTCAAAAGCTACCTTTTTCCTGTAAAGGGTCGATAGTTTCTGCAGCATCAGCCAGTGACCCTCGACAGTCTAGGTTCGGGGCGAGAGACTTTGTTCAAGAGCACTGTCAGCAGAGCCTTAGGCCACTGATGTGATCTTACAGGAGTGGCTCGTTGAAATGTCTCAAGGCCCCCATCGTCTGGTGCAGATGGCGACTGGCTCGCGGCCACCGACGTCGTCTTCTTGCGCACATATCTGCAAGTATGAGCTGACCGTCCCCACCGCTTTATGGTGGGATGATGTAGGTGCTGTGACCCCGACATACCTTCCTCTCTTTGACTGGTAGACGGCGCACTCGGCCGCCTCTCCATGCGAGCGACAGCGAGAACATGGAGGGCCACAAACGCTGACATCGCATTTGAGTCTACGCTTGTGGCAGTGGGTACAGGCCGCTGCTGCTCGTCTGCGCACCACTCTGCCAAAGGTAGGCGGATCGGGTCTTCCAGGAACACTCTCTCGGCCATGGTAACCACAATCGGATTGCAGCGAGTGCATATCGGTCATGTCAGTGATGTGTTGTTGCTTCGAGAAGTCTCAATCAATTGAGTCGGCTACTGAGGGAAGGTCGGCTGTATATAGGGGTCGACGGCGCTGCGGGGTAACATGACCAACTACCGAGGCAGGGCGCCAAGCCTTATGGCATCACGTGGTGATTAATTACGGCGGGGCATTGATGGCCAAAAGACGCCAGTTTTCCCTCGGATGCACTTGATCATCACGCGGAGAGTTGAAGAGTGATCGGAGGTTGTTCGCTTGAACCCACAAGGCGCCCATCAACTACTACCTAGAGCTGCTAAACTAAGGACACATCTTCAGTGTCGATCAGGATTTGTTGATCAGAAGCTTGAAACCTATGCTGTTGAGATTCAAGTCGGTTGTCATTCAACTTGGCACGCGACACCACAATTGTCGCATGCCTCCGTACGGGAAACGTAGTCGAGGCTCCGTACAAAAGAGTCCAAGGGCTACCAAGAAAAATGGAACTACCTCTGTGCCCTCAACACAAAAAAATGCTGGGCCCTCTACGATGAGCATTGATCAATTGCCGTTGAGGTTGGGTTCTTATTGGAAGTTGGAGCTATGAAGATGCTTACAGACATTATACCAGTTGCATTGTCAGATTCGCTAAAAGCTTTTCCCGTCGCTGGGAAGCAGACATTTATGGTTGAAAGTCCCGTTAACCTGACCGTTCCCCATGGATGTGCCGAATGTCTCGCAATATCGGTTGAAATCTACCTTCAACGAGAGCACTATCACAACCACTGTCTCTTCGGTATGCGGTCAAGCAATGCAAGGTAGAGCCTGGAAGAAGGAACGAATAGAGTTGGAACGGCTCGAAGCCTTGGAGGGCAGTATGGGATATCCTCACGCAGCACCATACAGGACCACGACAAGCGGGCCCCCAAATGGCGCTCGGAGCCATTCTTTCGTACCACTCCCCTGTGCAGACGCACTCAGGTCAAAGCCGCGACTGAACATTGGCAGGCCATTTAACCCAATCCTGAATGGAGTCTGGCCTTATCGCCGATTCCTTTCTTGCCTCAATTTCACACCGTGACATAGCTCTGGCTTCTCTCGGCATCGCTATATACCGGCTCCAGTCCAGAGAGCTTGGCTGGTTGACGAATTGTTACATAGTCCTTGAAATTGGGGCTCCACAGGCACCAGCGGTAATACCAACCATAGAAGGGCCAATTGAATGTGATGTGTCCTTTGGAGTTCTGCATCAAAGATTAGTAAGGTACGGTTCATAACAGGGAAAAGATCTACTACGGCCCAAACGTACAATGTAGTAGTTGGAACAATTGGGGGAAACAATGGACAGCGGGCCCATGTTCGCCTGAATCCAGTCGTTGAATCTCCTCTGCACACCAGCGTCCACCATGATCGCATACCGCTCATTCGCCCTCTTCCGGTTTTGCTGCTTCAGATGCTTGATCATCTTAACATTATACTGGGCCTGCACTCCGAAGACTGTGCACAAATTTGCCCAGGGGGCCGCTGAGTTTGGTCCAAACATGACGAAGAAATTCGGGAAGTTGGTCGTGCAGACCCCATAGTAGGCTTCAGGCTTTTCGCCCCACATGTCTTGAAGCTTTATACCGTTGACGCCGTATGCTGCAAAGTTGCCGCCCATGTCGCGCATCTCAAAGCCAGTACCCCAGATAAGCACGTCGATCTCGGTCTCCTTGGGAGTCGCATCAGGAGCCGCATTGCTCGTATCGTATGCGCCCGCAGGTTCTCCCTCCAACTTAGTGGCAGGCAAATTGACCACGGGCTGCGAGATGATGCTATTCTCGGTAAAGCGAACCGGTTTATCGGTAATGAGCTCGACATTTGGCTTGCCAAGCGTCGGATAGTAGTCGTCGAGTAAAAGCGGTCGCTTGCAACCGTACTCATGGTTAGGGGTCAGCTTCTCGCGCAGGGCCGGGTCAGACACCTGGGCATGTAGATGAGAGAGGGCACGGTCGCGTGCCCGTGCTTGGCTTTCGGTCCCACTGTACCAGGTCTGCCTGGTGCGCTCCTTTTTGAAACAAAGCCACCAGTGGTACAGCCATAGGATACCGGGAAACCAGGTAAAGAGAGCTATCCATTTTTTGGAAATTGGCGCGTCGCCACGGGGAAGGACGTATGTTGGCGATCGTTGATAGAGTGTCAGTTTCTTGACGATGGGCTGGATCGCTGGCGCAACTTGGGCAGTACTGGGACCTGTGCCAATGATGGCGACACGCTTACCGGTGAGGTCATAATCATGATTCCATTCAGCAGTGTGCCAGACAGTGCCCTTGAAATTCTCGAATCCTGGGATATTGGCATACTTTGGTCTGGTGAACTGTCCGACAGCGGACACTAGGACATTGGCAAGGTATGTCTTACGGATCTTCGAGGCCGTGTTCTCGGTCACAACCTCCCAGAGCAAGGTGGTCTCATTCCAGGTTGCCGAGATGACGGTGGTGTTGAACTTGGTTGACCTATCAAGCTTGTGGTGCCTGGCCATCCGGGAGTAGTACTGCTGGATTTCGTCTCGGGTTGCGTACCAACGGGACCATTTCGGGTTGAGATGAAACGACATCGAGTAGATATGGCTGGGCACATCGCATGCAGCACCCGGATACGTATTAGCACTCCAGACACCCCCATAGTCGGACTGCCTTTCCAGAATAGCGAACTCGTCGAGACTCAAAACGTTCTTGTTCACGATTTCAGCGGCAACAGCGATACCACACATGCCAGCGCCGATAACAACGCAGAATTTCTTCTCATGCTTGCTGGAATCCATTTTTCCCGGTATCTTGTCCGGAAGTCGATGGAAAACTCACATAGTTACGAGGGTAAAACTCGTCGATTTGTACCCGAGGTGTCGCTCAGTGGAGAGTAGTAGTCGCGAGAAGGACGCACGAAGCATTGGCTTCGGTAATGGATGCCGAAGGCTCCATATAATGCATATAAACGAGACCGCTCCGGCTGCGGTCCAAAGGAGTGCAGAGGGAAAAGTCTACTGTCCGAGCATACGTACATAGCCGATTCCTCGAGCGCACCTATTATGTCTTGTCGTCGGCCGATGCAGAAGTCCAGGCCTTGCCACGGAGTCACTTACTTTCATGGACTTTGACACCAGTTCCATAGCCTACATCGAATGCAACACACTCACGTCTCGGCTGCAGTCCGGCGTCATCGATTCCAGGTCATCGAAAATCACAATGAAAAAGCTTCGACGTGTCTATGTTCCATTGCAGAGCTACAGGCCGCTAATTACCACAGACATGCCAGAACAATGCAAGAGTGTACGGCTTATCAGACGAGACGAGCATTTATTGGTGCTAAAGCCCCTTGTACAGTTCTCATGGCTCTAATTTGCTCTGGTCAATGCGCAGCCCTTCTTCCTGTGCCACTTTCCACTCTTGACGCATCACCTTCTCGTGCAGTGAGCTCCTTGGTCGAATATCTGTAAATGACGCGTCAACGGAAGAAGAACAGGCCGGCGTTCAAGATACGTACCGCACTGAAATGGCCTAGGAGCGGACATCGAGCCTGGCAATAGGTTATTCAAGGTTGCGTCCACGTGGACTTTCGCTCCATTTTCACCCTTTGCATGGCGAATATCAAAGCCCCACAGCAATCTTGCGACATTTAGATACAAACTCCTCTCCGCCACATGCATGCCGGGACAAATCCGTCGTCCAGCACCATAGCTGTAGTGAGGCCTTGCGAGAGGATCACTCGCTGCTGCTGCCTCTGCGGCGGAGAGACTGTGGTCAATAAAACGCATCGGATCGTACTATAGATGTCAGCAGGGTCAACTATTATAGCGCATGCGCCTGATGCATTGAGGCTCACTTTCTCGGGTTCCGGGTACCGCTCGGTGTCATAATGCATTCCCCAGACATTTGCAACAATGACACTGCCTTTGGGAATAAAGTAATGTCTGTACCAACCGTCCTCCGTGGCGTAATGAGTAAGTCCTATTTTATTAACATGCCTCCAACGCAGGACTTCCTTGATCATAGCGCGGATGTATGGCAGATTTGGCTCGTCATCGAAATTGGGGGTCCGTTCAGCCCCCACGACTCTGTCCAGCTCTTCTTGAGCCTTTTCAATCACCTCACGGCCCCGAGAGAGAACTCCGATGACAGTGTGGTTCAAGAATAAAGTAGTAGTTTCGGATCCCGCTTCGATCATACTTCCAAGAGCGTAGGCACCTTGCAATTCATCCAGGCCGTTCGAACTCCAACCGCTTTGCACGAAACCCTTGCCAAAACTGGGCGGAGCCGTTCCTTTTTCGATCTCGCCACGCAACCTATTCCAAAGTGACATCCAAAATCCTGCGTCCGCTTTGTGATGCTCCTCTCCATCCCTTTTCCAATTACTGACAAGGTTAAAAAGAGGGTTGTTGGCCAAACCTGGAAACGTGTCGACTAGATAACGACCAGGCTGACGTACACGCCCAAAGCGAGCAGCTAGGGCGTTGATTTCGTGGATTTCTGGACAATCCCATACTGGGATACGCCACCCATAGGTCACCTGCAGGATGAGGCTGGCTGAGTATCTGCGATTATGATCGTAGAAAGTGTTTGGTTCTTGAAGTAGATCCACGGAAAGTTGCTTAGCTTCGTACTCCTGGATTGGTGCATAGGATTTGGCAGCAGCGGGAGTCAGAAGGCGGTGGATTATAGCACGAACAGCACGCCATCTTTTACTGCGGGGCATGAATACCAGTCTGCGACCGGCGCTGACAGTGTCGCAAGCCATCGGCAGAGGCATCCTGCTGGAGTAGACTGCACTCCGACGGTCGCATATTTCCTTGATGGCCTCTCGGGAATTCAACCAAATGTAATCCGTACTCCCAGCCCGAGTCCGGAAAAGCTCACCCTGTGTTTTCTTCCACTTTATGGCCTCAGAGATCTGACTGTCGCCCGCATGAAAGAGGAGTTGATTGATGAGAGGGAAGCCTCTGACTTTGGGAGGGAGATGTTTCCGCCGAGCGTCTCGCAGCAAAACACGATATACAACGAGGAATATTGTGAACACTAGGAAACCGATCGTCGCCCCGGCCTGGGGGATAGCGACATGTTCGAAAACATTCGCATTTGCCAGAAGTGTGCAGTAACGGTACAGTGTTTCACTTTCCATGACTTTCTTCTGCTTACACAAGTCTACCATTGACATCGCCAAAGGAAGGGTGATCTAGTTGTCCTAGTAGATCGATGTGAAGCGGAGCAAAGTATATCTCTCTGGGAATGATGCGCAGAATCTGTCAATCGACCCGACAACTGGGTGCGTGAACATTTGTGCGAGGCATTGTGCTAGTGTATGTGGAGTGAACTTCTCCAGCTTCCGCCACGTTCTCCACCGAAGTCCCAAAGCAGTTACGAGTCTTGTCGGGTGTAGGTGGGGTTACCCGTTCAAGCCGTGCGCAAATCAGTGGCGTCTGCGGGCTGAGAAGGCTATATGCAGTGTCAAGACAGCAAACCGTCGGAGGGCGGCACGCTTCGGCTATTCGTCGGACTGGGGAAAGTCCTGAGATACAAACTCAGAGTTACCGATTTGTGACAGAAATAGGTGACCAGGCTCAGGTAAATCAACAGGAACCACAAGAAACGTGTTCCAGAGCTACGCAAACCGTCACCCTCGGCTTTGATTGAGAATGTCGGCGAAATTAGCAGGCAAAGTTGCCATTGTCACTGGAGGCGCTCAAGGCTTTGGATGGGGCATTGTCCGGAAGTTCGTCGACGAAGGGGCAAAAGTTGTCATTATCGACGCCAACGAGAAAACAGGTCAGGAGGCGGCTGACAAACTCGAGGGCTGTGCCTTCGTGAGAGGCGATGTCTCCGAGCGAGCGGTCTGGGAAAAGGCGCTGGAAACCGCGTCGACCCAGTTCGGAAAGCTCGACATTGTTGTCAACAATGCTGGGATCCTCATTGTCAAGGTACGCTAGACAGCCCATGTAGAGACATACTTATTATAGCTCTGCGAAAGAAAGCCACCGAGTACACGGAGGAAGATTACGAACGCATCTTCCGCATTAACGTCAAGAGTCTATTCCAAAGTTCGCAGGTCGTTATTCCTTACTTCCAAAAGCAAGGTGGTGGTGCATTTATCAACATGTCCAGTGCTGGCGAGATACGCCCACGAGCAGATGGAGTGTGGTATTGCGCGACGAAAGCAGCAGTCACGAATGTGAGTTGTCCGGGTTTATCGCTTGGTGGCACGAGCGACCTAACGGCTGATCCATTCATCAGGCTACAAAGGCTTTGGCGGTGGAGTGGGCCTCACATAACATTCGGTTCAACTCGGTCGCGCCTACGATTGCCGAGACTGGAATGTAAGGAGAACACCGGGCTTCGATGTCGGCCTAGCTAACTGTGATCAGGTACCAGGTCATATTGAATGCTGCGGACCTGAAAGACGGAGAAGAAACTCGGAAGAAGTTCGGAGAGGTAATTCCGCTGAATAGGTTCTGTCGGCCCGGCGACGTAGGAAGCGCCGTGTGTTTCCTGGCCAGCGACGAGGCCTCCTTTATTACTGGAGTGCAGCTGCCGGTGGATGGCGGGAGGTCTATTTGATGGGATGGGTCCTGGGAAACATGGCGCAGATATTGCTCCAGCATCAGGAGCGGCGCGATACCGCCCTCCACTTCGCCTGGACAATATGAAATCCTTGCATGCTTTCCTGGTCCTCCACGAATGGATGCGCTGTTTCGTTAGGCTTGGTCTCTGCGCGATAACATGGCGTGGTCTGAACAGTACCTATAGTGCATTACGTACGTACAGGGGGCACTTGAACCGTGTATGCCTTCCGGCCTCTGCAAGCTTGGACTGGGTCGAGACATGTCCCAGTGGCTTTGCTACAGCAAGAGTTATAAAATGAGCGTGCCTAATTCAATGCTCTTTGCTGCTCTAATGACCCTACTTAATCTGCTGCTCTACGAACGAGCATACGTACCATTACAGCGACAGAGCATGTCACGTAATCCCAGCCATCGTCCTCTCTTCACACCTCACGTGTCGTCCATCGACCAACGGTTCTCCCTCCCCACTCCCCCTTGCCCCCTTCATCCCACAAGTGGTGGCCATAAGAATCGCAACAAACTGTGATGAAGGATGGCCGCCCATCTCTGGTCCTCGAGGCGTCGCACCGTTGCTCGTTCTCTCACTCGACCAAACCTTCGTTGGCCACAAGACTTTGTGTAAGGGTAGTTCAGAAGACGCCGTTGGTGTTCTCACAGTGATCAGGCACATCTGTGATGACATCCCAATGTTCAGTGAACTGGCCATCCTGGTATCTGAAAATGTCCATGACGTTCTGGCCCTTGTCTCCTTCCCATCGAATGACGTGGCTATGCACGATGATGTAGTCCCCGTCCACGAAGATGCGTTTCAGACGCATGTCTATGTTGATCTCATCCTTCCCGGATTGAGCCTTGATGTATTCGCGAAACCGCTCGCTGTAGATGATGATGGATTCCCCACCACTGATGACCGTGTAGTTGTGCTGCTTGTAGTCTGGGTGCACCATCTTTCGCACTTCGTCGTATTTGCAATGGATCCAACACAGGACATAGAGTCGAATTAGGGCTTTGACTTTGGCCACTTGTTCGGGGGTATGTGGAGGTTGATCCTTGAGGTTGGCGTAATGCCCCTCGATCTCTTTTTCAATTGCTTCCCATGAAGAATCCATGGTGCAACAGTTTACTATTCCTTCTGCGTTGGACAATCTAGCTTTCTCCGGGCAGCAGGTCAGACCGTCTCATCTGGAGGAGTACGTGATTTATGTACATGGGTCGTGTGAAGCTTGTTAGTCAGGAACCATCATTTCAAAGACCGGTACAACCCATAAACCCCGCCCAGTACAAAGATTGGTGGGGAAGGCAGCTTCCCCACCTCCGAGCTGAATAGCCGAAAACAAACCTGCCTTCGCTGGCCGGAGCTAGTCGCCGGCTATTCGCAATGCCCAGGGTCATGGTGAACAATGAACATGTGAACTTCGACCTGGGGGCGGAGGGGGATGCGATCATGGCACCCAGTTGCCCCCTACCGGCGGTGCGAGCCACGACAAGTCTGGTCATTGATTTTCCCCATGGCTTGGTTGTGGCTGCCAAGGACTTCCCCCCTGGGTACGCAGCCGGCTTCGAGCCCTCGAACATGAAAGCAAACGAAACCGGCAGGAAACGGGCTGCTGCAGCTACTCGTACACTCCTCGTAAGAAGCCCATCTCAGAATGGTACAATGAGACTCTGCGAGGGAGGTCAACTCGAAAGAGTCGCACGCCCTGGTCGAGTTACCCACGGGTGCAGAGTCAATTGGATTTAAGAGCCGCTGTTCCACATTCATTCCTTGCACCTGCAATTAATGCGAAGAAGCCATTCATTTGTCCCTTCATCTCTACACTCCTTTCCTAGAGTTGACGGAGGGCAGGGTCAAGACCAGTTCTCTGCTGACTGATATGCCTCTTGATCTGGGCATGTGATTCAACATCACGTGTGCGAATGGGGCCAGGTACCGACGGCAGCAATGATGCGATGTGTGTCCGTATGGAGGAAAAGAGGAATAGCGAGCTTATGTGAGAGCAGGGAGGTTGGTATGGTGGGTGCGTAGCAGCATATATGGTATCTACGTACGAGATGAAGAGTGCCCTCGTATACTCGTAATTATATAAGAGCCGTCTACTTAGCCCGCTGATTGGCGCCGCCGCGAGAACAATCACAACCCTTCATGGTCTGGTCCGATCGTCGCAGGCGAACTGGCTGTCGACAGTCTTCGTGGGCTGAGGGTGGTTAATTGCTGGTTAACTGTCCTCAACCTTCTGGTGTTGATCTCTATCTATGTCCAATGTCGCCTCCACTCGTCTCTGTTCCACGCTGTGGCCGTTGTAGTGTCGAGGGTACGCAGCCACCAAGACTTCGACATCCGCCCGCGGACAGCAGAGCAGCGTTCTTCGCTCCAGCCACGTGAACCTTCTTTCTCGCTGTGCAGTAAGGGGATCCTTCGCTATCATTGGCTAGTTTACGGTGGACGCAGGAAAATACTGAGAAGGTGAGAGGTGAGAACTGGATGGAGGTGGCCCCTGGACATGAGTGGAGTTCGGGGATTCCGGGGAGCGGGGGAACCCAAGGGGGCTTTTCCGCAATCCATTGATGAGGGTCACAACCTCGTAGGTGGCCTCGATGTCTTCGCCAAGAGTGCGTCTTCTCTTCATGCAGAGCCGAAACTCATTATCATTGTCCGTCTTCCAAGTCCGGAATTTTCTACTTGCGTTCTGATCTCCAGTATCTGACGCTCAGCAGTAGACTGAGACCGGGAGTCTGAACCGTCGACACAGGGCGACGTGTAGAGGGCCACAGATCCAGGCCACAGTCCAGGCCTCGGGGCAATAATTCCTCGGACAGCCGCCGGATCGCCCTTCTCTCACCAATTGGATCGTGCAGCCACTGGGTAGCAGCCTCCGGGCTTCTTGCATTCAGGCCAGTCTTCCACCTGGATCAGTCCATGGTCGGCACCGTGTTGTGGCACCATGTCCAAGGAGCTTACGGCCAACAAACGTTTCGCGTGTTCATTTTGCGACACCAGATTTACAAGGAAGGAACATCAATTACGCCATGAACATTCTCGTATGCTCTTGCCAGCCAGGCCTAATCCCTTCTCCCAGCTGACGGTTGTAGACACCCAGCGAGACTATTTCAGCTGTTCTCACTGCACCTGCTCGTTCCTCCGCAAGTGTGACATGCCTGCCGCCGGCCGTGTGATAGAGTGTTGACTAACCGTGATAGGGACGTCCTGAGGCGGCACGAAAGATCTGTCCATGGGGCCGCAAAGAAAACGGACAAGCGGCCTGTCCCCAACCTTGAGACTGGCAAACATCGACGAGCACGGCGCCGTCAAGCGCCATCATCAGCTGCAGACATTGGGAGCCCTGGCTCGGGTCTGGATGCGCCGATCTCCAGCTGGAACAGTACGGTTGCTCCTAACCTCCAGACACACATAGAATGCCCTTCATATCAGACGTACTCCCAACACAACACATCCCTTCCCAACTCCTGCAGCGGTACCATCACTCAGTCGAGTGATATTTCCCCTCAATGCGGGAGGGAGCACGTTGTAGCCCTGACCGGTGTCGATGCTCGATCCCTGGCAGCACAAATGGAGAACTCCGTCGTCGGTGCTGCGGTCGACTTAAATGGCGCAACCCATGATGATTTCGTAAGTACGTCTGCTAATAACATTCTCGACCACGGTGCAACATTGCCTTCTTTGTTTGTTGCTCCGAGTCTGAGCGACAGCGGCGACCATGCCTTCGATCCCACTTGGTTTCAACTTGGCTGGATAGATGATGTTGTTCCAAATCCCTCCGGCAACTCGGCCCGGAGTCCTACGAACACGCCGGTCGCACTCAGCGCTGTGACTGATACTTCTGCAAAGCTTGTCGAGCTGATTGAGAACTTTTCAGAGGGTCAAATGCATCTCCCGTGCAACCCCCTTCTTGCAGACTTGATCATTGCTAAGCTTCAGAGCGCCACCGCCACGTCGTTGCACGATGAAAGCAGCAGGCTGCCGGCCAAACTCAAATGCCAACGCTACTTCCGGTGCTATTTTCAGGTATTTCAGACTCACATCCCTTTGATTCACGCGCCAATGTTCGACCCCGATGACGCTTCTCTCGCGCTTCTTCTGGTCATGCTTGCCATTGGCGCACTTTATTCGTTCGACCGCAAGGAAGCCAAAATCTTGTATGGTTTAGCCGAGACCATCTATCCCTCTGAGCAGCACAACATCCCATCCACACAACACCTCCAGGTCTTGCTGTTACTCAGTTGCTTCTCTTCGTGGTCAGAGAACGCAAACATGAGAGCTTCTGGTATCGAGTACCAACAACGGCTCGCAGATGTAAGACGGCCGGGCCTGTCCATCTGAATTGAAGTTGAACCTGACCTCCCTTTTGCAGGAATTGAGCCTTCACCACGGCGACCTCCAATCTTCTTCATCGATCGACTGGAGTGGCTGGATCAGTCTTGAAGCAAGGAAACGGTGAGATATTGACCTTTCCCTCGATAAAGTCACTCCTGCTCATAATCATCCAAGTACGGTGATATTTGCGATGCACCTGCTCGCTTTGACTGGGGCCTCTTCCCTCTCGACGGAGATTGCCTTCCGAAATGATATCGCATTCGAGATGCCATACGAAGAAACCCTCTGGCAGAGCTCGAGTGGCGAGGATTGGATGTCACTATACGCCTCAGCGCCTGTACCGCCGTCATCACGAGAGGCGCTGCAGAACCTCTTCGACAGCTCAGGATCATCGGTCCAAACGTATAGTGTGCTCGGGCATCTCGCATTGATGGTCTCCCTGCACACTCTATCATGCCATTACAGGGCCTTATCAACATATCTTCCGCCGCTCGTCGCGACTCAAGTCCTCCAATCATTTCACGCAGCTATGGATCGGTGGTTGACGTCGTTGAAAGCATTATCCTTATCGGCCGGGGGCTTGCTCCTGGTGAATCCTTCACTGGCCAGTTCAGCCGTCATCTTGTGGGAGGCCAACTGTATCCAGCTGCATGGAGACGCATCCGCGCTCGCGAACATCAAGGCCACTGCTCTGGCTGTCTTCAAGGATCAGCCGACCATCCCTGCCCTCTTCGAAAGGGTGGCCCGTTCTTCAGATATGGCGACCGCGGTGCGGCATGCTTTATGCTTTCTCCGCGGTCCTATCGCGGTTGGCATTCGGTTTATGAAAACCACTGGTGGCGCCCATACCAGCATTTGCCACTTCTTGCTTGGGTTCCAGTGTATAATTTTCCTTGCCAGGTGGTTGTACACTATTGAATGCATCGTGGATGCAGGGGAACCTGTCACCGAGCAAGAGCAAAGCCTTTTGAAGACGGTAGACTGGTTGCTTGAGGACTCTGGCATCCAAGGTATCAGCCATATCCCTCGAAGCAAAGCTACCGCCGCTGTCTGGGCAGAGATTCTCGGCTCACCGAACTTGGTTTGGGGTGTCGGGGAACCTGCGGGAGATTACCTGGCGAGCAATCTGACACCTTGGTGATGGGTGATTCTTATAATCCTCCCCGGCATCCTGCAATCCTTCTGCGTGATCGATCCCTACCGTCAGGATCACGCGACGGAGAAGCGAAAGAAGTTGAGGTTGAGGTTGACACTACTGGAAACCGCATAGCCTGGTTAGGACTATCAAGATTGGCAAGCTCCATGGAACGTGTAGGAGTGAATAATTGGAAAGGTCCTCGCTTAGAGTCCGACATGCCACGAAAGATACGGAAGCACGTGACACAAAGCTAGGCCCCGAAGTATCCCTTTCGGGTGTCAGGGTGTCAGGTGTCAGGGTGTCATTTTCTAGTTCCGAGCGAGATCCTTCGGCGTTGTAACTTCTTGCTCCACCTCCCACACCACGTGTAGGACTCTATGTGGTGCGACAGCTATATTTCCTCATCCATTCCTTAACATTGGCAATTGATATCCAAGCAATAATGCCAACTTGGGCGGGCATACAAGAAGACTGTGGACCGCCTCCACCATGACATCGAGTGGTAAATTGCCGATCTACAGTATGGACATGAGCCTTGTGAAATTTGTATTGTAAAGACTAGATACGTGGGAAAATTGTCGGTGCACGGTAGAGGTGCACATGGCGCCTAGTTCATGAAGAGCAGAACGTAAGGCCGTGATAAACGTCGTCCATGACTCCTCGGAGCTTTCAGGCCATTCTAGACTTTAGATCTGGCTTGATTTATAGCCCATTTGATCGCATCGAGGAACATTCGTTTTGCTTCTTCGGCTCCGGAAAGCTGAGGCCATTGGAAGTACCCTATATCAAGTATGCAGGTCAGTTCCTGGTCACAATTAGTAGGAGAGGTTAACGGATCATACCGTGAGGATATCCAGGTATAACGTCAAGTTTGACCTGCACGCCACTAGCCTCTAATTTTTTGGCATACTCTAAGCCCTCGTCCCTGAGGGGGTCGCATCCGCACACCGAGATGTAGGTTGGGGGAAACTGGTCGAACTCGGACGCCAGGAGGGGTGAACAGTCGAGAGAATGGACTCGATCATCCGGCACGTGATACAAGGCCCAAAAGTTATCCATCACCCCTGTTGAGAGGATGGGGGCGTCGACGAAGCGGGCATAACTGCTGGTAGGTTTGGCCAAACATTCGGGGAAAGCTCGAGGATGACAACAATTCGGAACCCGTAAGACTTGCGCAGCAACCCGTTCTCCTCGTGTGGAGTCGCGTAATTTTCGCACTACAGCAGTCGCCAGATTCCCGCCCGCGCTTACTCCGACAGTATATACTAGATCACGGTGTCCACCCAGGTCTTGCACGTTATCCAACACCTAGTCTAATTAGTCAAGTCTGTATTGTTGCAAGACGGGCTCAGAGGAGACGGCATACCCAGAGAAGGCCAGCGTACGCATCGTCGACCGGGGTTGGGTATGGGTGTTCGGGTGCATGTCGGTAGCCCACGCTTGCCACAATCGACCCTGCCTGATCTGATATGCTGCAACATAACGCTAATTGAACAGAGTCAGTTCCGTGTTGGACGCTGCAATTTTAGGGGCCACTCACGATGCTCCCGGTCTATATCTCCCAAGACAAATCCTCCGCCGTGGTAGCTAGAGGACCAGCGTCAATCCGGGCTCGATTGACTTTGCTCGAGGGGTAGACTCACAAAACACCCACCGGTAGCTCTTGGCCGGTCAGACCTTTGGGACGGTATGTCCGGACCGAAATCTCTTGACCATCAGAGGTTTGCACCAGGTGATCTTTGACATGCAATCGCTCTCTTTCTGGAGGCGGGTTGCTTTGCGCTTGCGCGAGTGTGCTTAGTCGAAGCGTTTCCCGGATCTGTTCTATCGGCTGCGTAACCAAGTCGAGGCTTGGACGGACACCTAACTTGGCTTCCAACTACGCAGGGCAACCCCTAAGTTAGACGCAGGACCATGTTGACGAAGACTTGGACATACTTCAAGCCAGTCGGCAGAAAGCTCACCAGCTTTTTCGAGATCCAAATCGGTCGTCATGGTGGTTGGCGAGCTCAGGTAACAAGGGCTGACGTACAAATCGTCAGTGATAAAAGCACGAAAGATGGCACAGGGACAGTCTCTATCACATGACCTTCAATCGGCTGTATGCGTCAAACTCCATTTAATCGGCTGTATGCGTATGGAACCAATGAGAGGGCTGGAGTTGAGAGCTCATCTCGGAAGGGACCTCGGCAGCTCATACCATTCGCTGTAATACTGAGACCCAAGCTATGAGACCCGGCAGCAGAACCGCAAAACTAATGGGTACTTACAACACCACCTGTTGGCGCCAAAGTGACTATCGACGGAACAGGCAGACAACCTCGTGATGACGATCAATGAGTCAGTGCCACAGCCTCTGGAATGCTTTGGAATCATGGAAAACAGGCTCCAGGAGGTCATCTTGCCTAGTAATTATCTATATAAACTAGAACGGTGACCATAGAATAGAGGAAGACAGAAACCTCAACAACGCTGACTTGCCTGTATCGATTGGCCCGTATAGTTGTACAGTCCAAATCCTCCAACACCACCCTCTTACACAATGAGAAGCAAGCTTTCTCCAGTTTTGAACCGCGTTGAGCTCGCCCATAGCTCATGTTGACCTCAAATACCTTACTGGGCTCCACCTTTATGTTGATGGGAAGTGACGGTATTGACATTGACCTTTTACGCAGATCCGCCACATCTTGACGACATCGATAGCGGCTCGTAACTCAAGGACTAAGGTCGATAGTATGAAGTGACATGGAAGCCCAGGATTGACTAAAACCCTCCCACTGTCGGTGGCGGCCAGCGGCTCGCGTTGATTGCCGTTGAGATCAGTGGCAAGGAGAACGGAGAACTCAAGCGGCTCAGACACGGCAGCCCTTCTCCACATGAAAATCATGTATTTAGCAGCCATTTCCTTGATCTACCAGTGACACTCCTCTATCCAGCCGGCCATGGGAGCCAGCAATTGAATACCAGTGATTTTGTCGCGCACACAAGGTTTCCATGCAAAGTAGATAAACGTCGCCACACCGGTCAACTTCGTTTCAGCCAATCATATTTGAACGACAACCGGCAGTATGGCAGTAGATACCAAGCTTCGGTCGGCGGGCCCTCTACCTTGCCTTCTACGAAGTCTTGTCAAGGCTTGAATAATGCGGCTAACAGTTTACAAAGTCTTGGTACGGCGTCGTCGAAAGAGGCACAATGGTATCCAATATTTCTCTCTGAACCCAACGCAAGCGTGCAGTGTCTTAGCAGATAGACACGCTCCATCCAAGAAGCTGAGAAGAAGAACGCAAGTCGATGAAATCGATAATCCAGCGGCGCTGTCTTTGGATTTACGACTCGCCATCCTGTCTTCTCGCGGCTACCTCTGACGCATTACTAGGGCTGTGAGAATATCGAAGGATGTTGTTTCATCATTCAGGCGAACATGCCCTCCTACAATCGCCAAGGTTGGTTCATCATGTCGAGTCCACAGCTATGGCGAAACATCATCAGGAGACAGGCGACAAGTTATAAACCCTTCATACTGCTGAGAGAGGACCACATCCATCCACCAGCATCATTCGAGATGCGGGCACCATTGCATTGACAGCTCAAGGGCCAAATTGCTTAGAGTGACAGGATTCGAAAACGGAATCCTGCATTCTGCATGCCCCCATTCTAAGCATGTAACGCATTCGTACGCGATAGAGTATGGCAGATACATCCTCCAAGGGCGGACGGGCATCAAGTTTCCAAGCGATGTGGTCCGCGGCGACCGAGTATTTCGAGTCGAGCAAGAGAGGTTCTATGAAAAGCCGAAAGACGATCGTTGGTGGGAAAGCCCTGGTCGTTCTGCATAGATGAGGGAGTCGCCCAACACACGACTCGAGCTCCAACGCCTTCTTCCTGTAGGTTGAACGCTGAATGCCCGATGCTTTCTCTCCGCAAATGAAGATGTGTCCGCTTTGTGCAACAGAAGCTCGTTCTGGCAATGTGAGTCGCCTTTGGACGAAACTCAAGTAGTCTCGAAGACAAGCCTGAATCAGGATCATCGCGTTGTCACCTATCTCTACGAATCCTCATAGGAAGGCTGAAAATGCCCCTGAGACAGCATGTTTAATTTTCACGAAAACATCAAGGAGAAAACCTGGACGAAACGTCAATCGAGCTGCAGCATTGATTAGCCACTTGTTCTCCGTAGTGAACAGGTCAGTTCCGATCAATCCCAAAAACCCTATGTGGGTGATCTAGCGTCTCGGGTGGCTGCATGTGTGATGGTTAATGTCCACGCATCAAAAGAGGGGATCAGCCAAATCGCATTTCCTCACGTTATAGTCGCTTCTATGGAAAGAAAACCTGGGGCTGCTGCCGCTGCTCGTGCCTGGTTGTTTGGGGAACCCATACTTACGGGAGACTACGATCTCGATGTCCTCTCGCATCATTTGGCCTTGCCAGAGAAGTCTAGTGACCAACAAGGAAAGCGGCCGCATGACTCGGCATGATGGCCTACCGGATGACCACACCAGCGTCTACGTCTGTCAGCAAGGGTGCATCTGAAAGTTGTCAAGACGTACCAACGATAATCTGTTGACCTGTTATAGAGGTGTTCTTTGCGACCGACACGAACGATCCTGCGCAGTCGTCCAGATAAGTCTGCAACGATCATTAGCGCAGTCTAGAAGAGGATAGAGGGGTAGCAAGCCTCGTGTTTCAATGCGGCCGCTTCGATCGTCTGCTGCCTTCGTTCTTCAGAGTATCTCATACCCTTGAATTTTCATCAGCGGAAACAGACCCAACATATCGAGGCCCACTTACCCAGTCCGTCAAGAGCAGCCCCGGAAGAATCGCATTGATTCTTATTTTTGGCCCCTGCGTTGAAGCCATGCACTTCATGAGATGGAGTGCAGAAGCCTTCGTTACAGAATAGCCGAGTGAGCTTCCACCGCAACTGATTCCCTTTTGACGGCTCAGCTTAATGCGTCTGACGTGTGAGATGTCTCTTACCGCAATCGAGGAGCAAACGAGGAATACTCCTCCTTCTGGGTTGGCGTTGAATATTGGTACCGCTTCCTGCATCAAGCACAACTGGGACATGACATTTGTGCGCCAGCACTGATCAAGTCAACACCGGCTAGCAGTGCCAGTATTGTTGCTCCTACCTTGTCCCATTCTTCGTAGCTGAGGTCGTTCAAATCGCCAAACTTAGCAAATCTCGTCCACCCTGCATTGTTGACAATGATATCGAGCCCTCCGAGCTGTTCTACAGTTTCCTTAACCAAGCGAACACAATCTATTGCCATACCAACGTCCTGTACCAGTGTCAGTGGCATTGAATGTAGGAACATGCTGGGTTGAAAATGCAACACACTCCTTGAACGACAGCGACCTTGACTCCGAAGTCTTGCCTGCATTTCCCAGCAACTTCTTCTGCTATGTCTTTGCTATTCACATAGTTGATCGTGATATTGGAACCTTCAGCAGCAAATTTCTCGCATATGACAGCTCCCAAGCCTCTAAGATACAGTCAGGGCCTGGTTTCGGGGCATGAAGCCTGCCTGAGCTGTGGAAAGCTCACCTTGACCCTCCGGTGACTAAAACATTGCGTCCCTTTAGAGAATATGGCATCTTGGATATAGAAGAAGTAGACAATCTTGGCGTAAAGCTGTCAGAAGACCACTTTCCAAGTCAGACAAGATGTTCTAGGGCAATACACGGAGAACTTGGAGGCAGCTCTGGCCCACGATTTTTATTAATATCGCACGGACATATGGGCCGCGGCTAATATCACCAAGGACAGCCCGTACTCGTGCGATTAAAGCATAGCCGATATCCGCATTGTCGGCAGCATAAAGGCTAAGGCCGCTTTTTCAACCTGTCGCCAAGTTTGCAGCATGGCCATCGTGAAGTCTCAACGTCAATGAAATAAGGAAGGACAAGCCTCCACTGAAGCTGCTGTTGTTGAAGGCGGAGAGAAGGATACAAGAAAACAGTCTCGCAATATCAGAAAGAGCCTTCGTACATTGATATAGGTCCTGATGCCGTTGCTGCTATCTGTCTTTCTTCGCTCAGAACAGCCAATTCGACCACCTCTCTCCCAGCGAGAAAAGACGAGACGCGTGTTGTATGGCTGATGACATGGATAGCACCGTCGATGTCCTTGGAGACTCGCCATCTTTTAGTATCGGTCTTGATATCAAAATCAAGCGGTGCATCACAGAACTCTATTTGCTATGGGATATTTTTAGACTTGACACTGTAGTATACGCCGATAGTGTGAAAGATGCCTTCTAAAGTGAGACTTCCGAAGTTCTGATTGCCAAGACTACCGCTTATAAGACCTTAATTAGAGAAGCCTAAACTTTTAGGGGAGTTAGGTACTAGGATAGCCTAAGACTTAGGGCACTCTGGTCCCGTGTTGCAGTTTCCAAAACGTTGAGCATTAAGATTGATCGCTTATAAGATCTTAACTAAAAGCGCCTAAGCTTCTGACCTTGTCAGCGAGTTAGGTAGTAGAAGCCGTTATTCTTTAGGCATTCTTATAAGCGATTGCCTTGTTGCTCAGAGCTTCAAAAGTTCTCGCTGGACGAGGTACCTATTTCACGTTGTCGGCGCACACCAGGGTATTGTCAAATCGAGAAATGCCCCCAAATCGAATAGGTTCTCGTAAGGTAGTGCTTCGATCTAATGTAGATATCAGTATGTGAAAGAGCTAGTCTTTGTTGCCTGGGGCCGGAGCGTATTTCTGTGGGGAAGAGGTTGAGCTTCAGTAGCCGATCAACCATCCAACGGCTCCATCCCTCGAACCGGCAAACAGCCGACTCGTGTCCACCATGTGCCTTTGATTACAGGAGCTTTGCCTTTGTCTACGATCGATGCCTTACTCTCGCTGTGGTATATTGATAGGGGCTCATGAAGCTGACCACCCCATACAAACTCTCCGCTGATGTAAAGACGGGGTCAATTTGGTATGCTTCAGATCTTCTGCAAAGGAGAATATCGTTGTTTCAGTGCTCGGCTAATCCAAAAACAAGCAACCCCCGACGCCCACGTTTCCGAAATGGCAGATATCCAACCCTTTACCATTTCCATCCCTGACTCCTCCCTGTCCGACCTCAAGACTCGCCTTTCTCTCGCTCGATTTCCTGATGAGATCGATGGCGCGGGATGGGACTACGGGGCTCCTCTAGCAGACGTTAAACGGCTGACAAACTATTGGAAAAACCAATACAAATGGCGAGAAGCAGAGAAGAAACTGAACACCATATCTCAATACACAACCACGATTCAATGCGATGGCTTTGAACCATTACGCATCCACTTCATCCATGCCAAATCAGATAGAAAGAATGCTGTACCTCTACTTTTCGTCCACGGCTGGCCAGGTAGCTTCTTCGAAGCCTCCAAGATATGGGACAAATTGTCGTCTCCTGAGTCTTCTGACGCGCCCGCTTTCCATTTCGTTGCTCTATCCTTACCCAACTTCGGCTTCTCACAAGGGCCGAAGAAGAAGGGGTTCGCATTGGCCCAGTACGCCGAGACATGCAATAAATTGATGCTCAGGCTCGGCTATACCGAGTACGTCACTCAGGCCGGTGATTGGGGCTACTATATCACCCGTGCCATATCGTTATTGTACCCAAAGAGCTGCAAGGCTACACACGTGAACACGGACCAAGGCGATGTTCCCAGTTGGACCCAACATCCCAGTCTCGCTCTTCAGCACGCAATCACTCCTTATACGGCGGCGGAGAAGGAAGGTATGGCGCGGACGAAGTGGTTCCTTGAACAAGGCTCAGGCTATCGTGCACAGCAGTCTACAAAACCACAAACTCTCGGCTACGCGCTTGCAGACTCCCCAGTTGCCCTTTTAGCGTGGATATACGAAAAATTACACGACTGGACAGACTCGTACCCGTGGACCGAAGACGAGGTCTGTACATGGATCAGTTTATACTGGTTCTCCACCGCTGGACCGGCTGCGAATATGCGAATATACTACGAGGTTAGCCATGATTGGGACGACCAAGCTAGAAGAGTCACGCGGGATCGGACGATAAAATACATTGGCGGTGTCAAACTCGGGCTCAGCCATGCACCGAAAGAGTTGAGGGTCTTGCCGTCTATTTGGACCAGGACACTAGGCGATGTCGTGTTCGAGAAGGCGCACGACAGTGGAGGACATTTCTTTGCATACGAGAAGCCCGAATATCTGATAGGCGATGTGAGAGAGATGTTTAGCAAGAAAGGCGGTGCATTCGGTGTGGTCCAAGGCTCGAATGGCTACTGAGTGCCACTAGCAAAGATACACACCCGTTATGTGGGACCATGCAGTATTCCGACCCGTTCTAGATGAAGGCGAAGAAGTTCATTCACAAAATGCACGAGAACACTGTGTACAATGTGGCGACGCCGCGACATCTTGTACTGCGTGGCGACTGTGTTGGGTCCGCGCATCAGGACGTGAACCACCGAGCACATGAGCAGCGTCGATGTGACATCGACCGTATCGCATGTCCGAGACTTTAGACAGAATATCCATTCCGTCCAGTCTTCACCTCGAACTAAACAACCGGCTGGAATGCCAGATTCGTTTCAGAAAGTTTGAAACAGCCGCAAGAGGGAGCCAGCGTCCGGACGCCAGACATCGACAAGTGTCTTGATTCTATAGTGGTTAGCTAGTTCTAGAGCTGTGTTGAAGATGGTGACGCCACCTAGATGCTCAAGTAGTAGAAGGCTAATACTTTTAAGTTCCCGTCTACAGTATGCGAGAGCTCGGCAAGATACTGCAATGGGTCTCCCTTCTGCTTGCGTGGCTTGCATCGGGTGGTCAATATTGCGATCTCCCACGAAGAGAAAGGCAGCTGACGTCTCAGGTTCATACTACGCGGGACGATACGGAGGTGTGATATGTCTTGTATTATATCGGGCACTGCTGAGACCAGCGTGCCTAGACTAGGAAGCTGATAGCCTGACAGATATTTTGCATGAAAGATTTCGCCATGAAGCCCAAGAAATGACTCAACAATCTGTGGTTACCCTCTTGGTGACGGACATGAAAGCGATCATCATCGCATCGGTTAAGGTCGACCAGACAATCTCGAAAGGACAAGTGCTGCGTCTGGATAGGCTTCCGCAGGGCTTTCGGCGCATCAAGGATGAATGTAAAACGGTCCAGCGTCTCTTGTATGAATGCTCCGCTGTTCGATCTAGAGGGACGTTGCAGCCTTGCAGGCACTGGCTTGCCGCCGTTCAAATTCCGCTACGTAGCAGTGTTAGTACTTACCGCATTTTAAACTTAGTGTATACTAATTTAGGTACTATAGTGAAATCAATAAAATAAATTATAAGTCCGAGTCCCTAGTTTACTAGTAGGTGCAATTCAAGTATTATAATAAAGCCTTACTTAGAATATTAATTATACTAAATAAAGCTACTAGTTATAAGAGTATAAGTAACTTAACGAGAACACTAAGATAATCGATCAATTACTATATAGTCCTTAGAACATCGACTATAAGAACTTAAGGAGTCCAAAAACCTCGCATACGATCCGTATAGCCCCTAAGGTCTTATATACTAGGCCCCTTAGTATTTTAGGACTAGTCTTAGTATAGGATAGGTACTTCTAGGGTCTACCGTAGTCCTATCCCATAATAATTACTCCCCTCCCCCGAAGTATACTCGTCCTCGAGTATAGGAGTAGTAGGTAAGAAGTAGCGTTCTAGTATAGCGCTATATACGTTCTATATTAATATTAGAAAAAATATAATACGTTTCCCTAATCTTAGGGTCGCTCCTAATCCTAATTTATTCTACTCTTAGGGATTATCTCGTATTTACTTTAGTTTACTTAATTCTAGCGAAACTTCGCGTACTTCTCGTACTCTAGTATAGTATATATAGTAAGCTATACCTATAAGGCTAAACTTTTTAATTATTTAGTCCTCGCTATTTAATCTTCGTTAAGATCTTAGCGATTAGTCCCTAGGTAAGGAGTATATTAACCTTCCTCTACCCTATCTTTCTTCTTTTTTTTTTTTTTTTTTTTTATATTTCTTATTCCTTAAGACCCCCCTCCTTAGTAAGTCCTATAGTTAGCCCTCTACTTTTTCCCTACTAATAGTATACTAG